TTCAAATGGCTTCTAGCCCGCTTCTTATGATAATAGCAGTTGGGGGGGGGCAGAAGGGGGGGGGGGGTGCATTTCTTTGACGATCCATGGTCCCATTGTGTTCTTCTGCAGAGAAAGAGGCCGATTTCGACCCCCACCATCGCACAACGACCATGCAGCCTCTAGAATGACATCGTCACAGCCGCCACGGAGCTGTCACAGCCCCCCCCCCTCGAACCCCAACCACCCCCCCCCCCCCACCTAACCCCGCAGGAATGGAAAGGAGACTAAAACCTACGGGCCGACTGGGGAATAGAGAAGTAAAGTGTAGCTGAGGTTTAGAGCCGGTGGGCTGGCAGGGCTTTGGGAGTTATGGGAGCAAAGGGGGAGGAGGTTTACACGGGACGAGTAAACCAAGTTTGGCGTAAGGGGGGGGGGGGGCGAGTTGAGTCAGGGGGGACATGGATGGGGACCGGGGGGGCGGTGCATGTCTCAGACACAATAATGCTATTCATTGGGCTCAGACATGGGTGTTAACTCCCCCCTGACGGAGCACAATGGCGCTCGGCGGCATCGAGGCAGCCTCGGCGATATTGTTAGCTCAGGGCTGCATTCTCCCCGCCCGCGGGACGGAGCGCCGCCATTGTGCCCGTCCGCCACGACGGATGGAGGGAGGGTTGAGGGGGTGAAAGGCGGAGAAAGAGAGAATGGGGCGTTTGTCAGTCTGTCAGTGGTCGTTGGAGCGCCGGGCGGAGGAGGCTGGGAGGGGCGGAGGAGTGTTGTGCCCCATGGCTTTGGACTTGTTTTTTTTTTTATTTTCAAGGGGATGGGGACGTAGACGATGCGAGGAAGACATGGCGGCGTTTGTCAGAGGTGGGGGCGGCGGGGGGGGCGTGCGTTTGGAAAGAGGGAGAGCGCGCAGGAAGAGAAGCGGCGGGATGCGCGGAGGATGCTGCTGCCTGTGACATCAGACTACCGCGAGACCTCCTGTCCCAGAGGAGCGGGGGGCCGGGGGGGGGACGCATAGCGTGTTGTGCCGGCGTTTTGATCACATGTCTCTTTTTTAACTGGGTCTCCGTCCAGTACGGTTATCTGAATATTGGAAGTGGTTCATTTAAGATGAACTAATTGGCAGAAAACGTGTGAATCTGCCGCTCGCTCACATTGCGGAGCATTAAATATGTTTGGTTGGGGCTGTTTGTCTCGTGTTGCCTTCAGGGCCCAAAGGCATCTCACCAAATTCCCTCGCACGCTGCAGCCGCGGGACGCTTATGAAGCGGCGGATCTATGGACGTAGGGTATGGGTGAGGAGGACGGGGACACACAAGGAAGCAGGGTGCACGTATCTGATCTGCGATGACACACAACCCACGCGCACACACACACACACACAAACACACACACGTGCCACGTGCTCCTTCTGCACAGAACAACCTGCTTTCATGAACAGTACTTTGTTTGTTTCCCCTCTGGTAAACTCTGACCATCCGTTCCCATAGCAACCGTACCCACTGGTTCCCTGTGTGATCGTGTGTGTGTGTGTGTGTGTGTGTGTGTGTGTGTGTGTGTGTGTGTGTGTGTGTGGAAAAAAGAGGCAAAGAGAACGGCGAGGAAGGTATGTGGTGTTGTGTGGCGGATTTGGAGCACAACCTCCTCTTCTCAACACGACACATTAATGAAACACCACAATCTCCAACGAACTTCGGAGGATTTCTTCCCTAAAAGACGAGACCTTCACCCGGTGAATCTTCACATCTGTACCCACATCTGTATTCACTCTCAGCAGTGTGGGAAGAGCCGGCGGCGCGTTGCTGGGCTGTCGGGCAGGCAGCGGCACGGCCCTCGCCGGGTGGTGGTGGTGGTGGGGGGGGGGGATTACGCTGGTCAACCTACCCCCCTCCTGGAAGGGGAGGACCGACCTGCTCTCCGCCAACGACAGGGGCAGTCAACTGGTGACTAACTTAATTAAGAGAGGCGGAGGGGAAGACGAGGGGGATGGAGAAAATAAAGTGAGAGTGAAGTAAAGCGACGCGAGGAGCCGGGGGACACGCTGAAATTAGAAGAGGCGTGCAGTTTGAAAAGAGAGCGGCGGGACGAGGCGGAGGGGCTTCTCGGGGGGGGGGGGGGGCGGGGGTGAAAGGGAGAGGGCCAGAGGAGGGAGGCCTGGAGAAGAGACCTCAGGTGTCTATGACCTCGAGGCACCACTTTTTTTACATTTCATCTTTTAGGACAAGTGCTACACAGTGTTACCCCCCCCCCACACACACACACCTTTTTTAGATTTCCAAAGACAAATGCAGCAGGTAATTCCATTTCGGGGGACTTTACCAGAGGATATTTAGGGGGCAGTTAGCAGGTGGCGGAGCTCAGGTCCGCTCTGCGATACTTAACAACAGGGATTTGGCAGCGCTGCTGAATCCCATCTGTCGGAGGACTGTACGCGTTTGTATCGACACTCTGTAACCTTGCGTCTCCTGTAAAAGGAGACCCCAGTGTGTGTGTGTGTGTGTGTGTGTGTGTGTGCGCACAGGTAGGTGTTCAGCTTCGTCTCCATCCCTTCATCCCTCCATCTTCACTTCGCTGTCTGCCTCGATTCCCTCCCCTTCACGAAAAAGAGGGGCGACCAGATAGAGATGGAGAGGGTTTCTCAACACTGCTTTTTCCTGCTCTCCCCTCCCTCGCATCCTCCCCCCTCCCCTCCCTCTGCTCCTTCCATCCCCTATGGTGGAGCTGCCAGACAGGAGAGCTCAGCAACGTTATTGATCCTGAGAGCGAGCCGGGCAGGGAGCTGGTGTCTCTCTCTCTCTCTCCCTCCCTCAATCACACCCTCATCCCCCAACACAACGCGCAACTTTTTCCTCCCTCCCTGCTCGCCTCTACTTCATTTATCAAGGTTAAAGAACTCTTATAAAAAAGGGAAGAGGGGGGTCGCCTGGATGTTATCTGACTTCATGAAAGAAATCCCCTCAGGCCATTCCACCAGAGGAGGATGCTCTTTGCAATGAGACCCAACTCCACACACACACACACACACACACACACACACACACACTGAGCGCGCACCCAGCAGCTGCCCACTCATAACCAGTCAGAAATAGAAAGTAGCATGTCCAGTTTGGCACACGGCAACAGGGCAATCACAAATAGCGATGAAGAAAATGCAGAAAATTAGTCACTGTGGGTCAAACATGCAGCACCACTTTTTATTATTTACAGGCCGCTGATAACAAGAATCTTTAAGGTCGTCGGGCACAACGGACGCTCTTACTTTCGGGTTGTAGCAGCAGAGAGGATGAACACGGGAGAGATTTTTCCCCAAACTGGCAACCCAAATTAGCTAAACTACTCATTTAATTGATGACGCAAGATAAATTGGCAAAACTTCAGATAATCGATTAATTGTCTATTTTTAAATGCCACAGCGGGTGAAATGTAATTATTTAATCCCCTTTGATTAAACACCAATATAATCTCGCCTCACATAGTGGCAGGTTTAGTACACAAAACTCGTACAAAGCAGCCAAAAGAAAGTTTCTCACTTCAGGCCAGCGACCAACATTTTAAATCATTAAAAATCATCCGCTATAGCTAATGTTATTTAGCTAACGTTATTTAACTGACTAGCTAAATAAGCTAACATTAGCTCCTTGAGTTGGTTGAAACGCCTTCAAGGCTCATTTTTTAAAATATAATCCCGCCAACTCGTTTTAAAAACAAAAACCTTGGAAAAAATATTGAATAATTTATTTACACTCGCTCCTGTCCACCCTCCAAAATATCAATACTACTGTAGAACAAATCACATCGCTTTAACCGATGGAAGAATCTAGAGCTTGACAGGCCAGCTGTACCTAGTTACGGTTGCTAAGCTGTGATTGGACAATCACTGTTTGAGGGAGGGGGTTTATCAACACATGGCATCCTATTTTCTATTTAATAGACTAAATACTGAACTGATTCATTGAGAAAATTATAATAATCAATATTTCAAGCCATATTTATTTATTATTTGTGCAGATGACTGTAGTATCAAATTAATTGTTGGTTTCTGTTTTAAAAGCTTAAAGCCGTCTCTATAAAATGTACTTTCATAAAAAAATAGAAATAGAACAATAAAAAAGAACTACATCTGCAAAATTGGTGTGCACAAGGCCATCGGGCCGCTCCATTTTAAGCTCCATTATCCATCTGTAGAGGAAATACAGTTTCTGCATTTCCAGTCTTTAAGAGACTGTTGCAGCGGCCATTGTCCCTGTTGGTAAAAAAGGGCTAGAAATGGCTTTACGTGTGGAGTACATCCTGTCTTCCATTGTTACTGCTTTCACTCTCCGCCATAAAGGCCTGCCTGCACTCCACGCTACAACCGCACAAGCAAACACACACACACACACACACACACACACACACACACACACACACACACACACACACACACACGCGCGCTCGCCGCAAGCACATTACACGGCCATACCTTCCCCTCCCTTTGTGCTCGGTAATTGCCACAATGCATCTCCTCGTCTGGCTAATTAAGTGAGTCTTTCCCCATTGTCTCCCGGTACTATCACCTCGTCTCACAGCCGGAGAGCGGGAGAAGGAAAGAGCAGAGGTATGGAAGAGATACAAAAGGCAGGAGTCCAAATAGAGAGAGGATGGATGAAAAAAGGCGTGCGTCCGTGTCCCGTGTTTACCTGTTGAAAAAGGGCCCTGTTTTCTAATAATAGCGCATTACTGCTTTCAGACGGAAATCGTCATTCTCAATGAAGTCATTTAAGTAATCAGGGGGGGAAAAAAAAGCCTTTTAGAATTTGACGATGTGCAGCACCGACAGAGATGGACCCTAGAAGCCTTTTCACATTACCGAAAGGGGAAAGTTTGTCTCGCTCGGCGTAAAATAGGAGTTAAACACAGGCTTGATGTGCGTGCACAGGATTCTGAGATGTCCCAACTAGTTTGTTATCATTATACGTGTGGTGTGAAAATGGACTTGAGTGTGGAGCTGTTAAAAATTAACACCCACCCATTGTGTGATGCCGCTGATGCACAATGATTCTTCCTCATTCAAGTAAAGGACACAACATCTGGGCCTCCTGTCCAATTACTGCAAATCTGAGATGTATTCCGGTAACGGAAAACTCACAGGAAGTAATTGTGAGGCTGAGTATTTGAACTAAAGTTGCCCCGGCCTCACATGTCTACAACAAAAAATTAAATATCAAAAGAAATAATAAATTCACTTCTATTAAGACGTGAGTTCATTCACAAGAAGAGGCACTGAATTCCCCCCCCTTTTGTGTAATATCCAGGATATTTCCTAATATCACACCGTGCGTTAATCCACAACAGCGTCTGTTGGCTCTGTGGGCTTCAAACCGCTGTGCCTTCACCACATCTGTGCCTTTCACCACATCTGTGCCCAGCTGTGGAGCCCTTTGTGGATCCCATAATGGAAAAACAGAGAAAAGTAAAGACAGCGGCTTTTGTTTCCTTCTTCTTTATATCTGCAGGCCGAGCAGTCAGAACATCTGAGGCCACTGACAAGCAGACTCATCTAAAATCCACTTCTCTAGTGGAGGACCCCCCCCCCCCCAAGAAAAACACCCACACACAGACACACTCGCTCCATGCTCAAGTCCACTCGCTGACCTCTCAGGCCAGACACTCTCCTCCAAAGCCTCCAACCCCCCCCCCTCCCTAAAAAAAAATCCTCTCCCAACCCTCAACCCTCCTTGAACCCCCCCCCCTCCCATCACCCCCCCACCCTGAACGCCTCTCCTTCCCACACTCAAGTTCCTGTCAAGGCCCTGACAGACAGACAGACAAGTAGGGTGACATCATGGTGCACAGAGAGGAAGGAGGCTGCCTGCCTGTCTGCCCCCCCCCAGCACCCACACAATACACAGGGGCATCTGGCACTGGGGTGGTGTTGGGGTGCCGGGTGGGGGTCTGTCGGGACAAAGCGTTTACACCCCCCCCCCCCCCCCGGAATATGATTATAGTTTGTAAATGGCGGCTGAGACGTAAATGTGTGAGGAGAAGAAAGAGGCTTAGATGCGGCGGCGGGGGCGTGGGTGGATAATACAGTTATGGGGGGGGCGGGAGGAGGGGGGGGGGGGGGGGGCACGGCGAGAACCCACCGACAGAAACATCAGTCCGTCTTCATGGAAAATCTGCACCGGCATTTAGTGGAAGACTTTTTTTAAAAGCTGCCAAATCCTCCTGTATGAATTTCTTTTCCCAAAAATGGAAAATTGAAGCTGTTCAAACGAGCGAGTTTAGTGCTGATCTGTGTGTGTCTGTGTGTGTGTGTGTCTGTGTGTGTGTGTCTGTGTGTGTGTGTGTTTGGGTTAAATTTGTAGGATCCAAGACAAAACAATGGCACCAACGGGAATCAGAGTCATAATACTCTCTCTGCAGCCCCCCCCCCCCCCCGGAGGCTGTCCACTCGTTGCGTGCATACATAAAATAAATGAGTTGTGCGCGTGCATTGTGCGAGTCCACAGGCCCAGCGTATATATTAGAGATGCGAGTTGACCCCGGCAGGCGGAGGCAGGGTTTCTGCGTGGCTCTGGGCGTGGGAAAAAGGGGAGACCTCTTTTCACAGCTGCTCCGGCCGTTGCATTGAACCCGACGGAGGCCCCCGCCGCCCCCAACCTGCCTCCGCCGCTAATGCTCCCCTCCCTCCCTCCCTCCCTCCCCTATTTCCCATTCACTCCGCAGCCTGCTGCCTTTCAGGGGACCCCCTTACTCCCCCCCCCCCCAGTCTCCAGAGCTCCGCACGTCACCCTGTGCACACACCGCCCCCCCCCCCCACGCCCCCACCCACCACCACCACCACCACCTCGCCATTCAGCCAGGGCGCATTGAGACGCCAGGGGCCTCGGAGCCTTAAGGAGGAAAAACAACTTTATTTTACTTTTACTTCACACGTTTGAACTTTCTTTTGTTTTTTTACTCTTCAAATCCACTTTCCTCGCTGTCTTTCCTTCTTTGAGCCCCGCTGAAGACATCGTTTATATTAACGTGCGGCCCCCCACCGGCCCCCCATCACACACTCACACACGTTGACTCCTTCGCTCCAGTGTGTTCATTTGCAGAGATTTATTTCCTATCAAGCTGCATAATGCAGAGGGTATAATTCAAATCAACTTCTAAGAACACCCAAGCGGCGCGGTTTATGTATACAAATCTAAAAAGAAAATTCCCAGCGAACCGCAGGGTGTTAAGAGCAGATTGGCAACTTTAAGAAGCGTTGGGGGGGGGGGGGGGGGGGGGGGTGGTTGGTTATGCCATTAAAGATAACCTATTACTGACAAAACTCACAATCAGCCTGTGTGAGCACGACGCAGGCTTCATTTGTTTCGGATACTCTTACTAATCTGACAGTATGAGCATGCAAAGGAAGGTGGAATCACACACACACACACACACACACACACACACACGCTCTTAGGTAAAAAAACTTTATACGGTCACATAATGTGCAGAATAACTCGGGAGCGGCCCCATCGTGCTTTCTAGCTGCTGATACCCCGGCGGGTTGAGGAAATGTTGAGAAGCAGCGAGGGGGCCAGCGAGGGAGGGGGGAGTCTGTGTGTGTGTGTGTGTGTGTGTGTGTGTGGGGGGCTTGTAGCCGAGAACCTGAAAGGACTCCATCTCCCTTGGCCAACATGCCATGACGGTGTGGAGCAGAAGTCTGAATTGCTTTCTCTGGGGTGGCCGAGCTGGAGAGGTGATGGAAAGATGAGCCCGAACGGGGATGGAAAGGGAGCCCGGGGGGAGCCCGGGGGAGCCGGGGGGAGGGGGGGGAGCGGGGGGGGGGGGTACGGTACACTGAGGTATGAAGAGGCAGCGATGGCGGACCGGATCTGAGCTAGCGTACATGAGCGGAGAGACACCCCCCCCGCCCCCCCGCGCCAGCTTTTAATTGCTGTTATGAACAGATTTGACGGGATTGACGCGTCTCGGCGTCTCGGCTGTGGCCCGTGGCGTCGCCCTGCACTTCTGGAGGCCGCGTCCGAGCGAAGCTCGTCTGCATCGATTCATCCGGTTTGAGGAGACGATATCGACCAAAGTCCTCATCGAGCGGAGGCGAAGCGAAAGGAGCGTTAAGAGGTGGTCGAACGCTACGGAGGAGGATGGCCACAGGCTGCGGAATCTCCTCTGATCTTCGCTTGTCTGATTCTCAAATGCAACTCTTTCTCTGGGGGGGGGGGGGGGGGGGGGGCGCATGTGGATATAGAAATAGGCCAATGTCACAGAACGCTCATCTAACCCTGGAGGGAAATAAAGAAGAAGGCCTAAAACCTAAATCTCTGCGGATGGAGCTTCGCCTCCGTCGCTCCGGCTCAACGTGCTCGGGCTGAGCGGCGGCCGCTAGGATAGCGAAGGTAATCTTCGGTCGTGTCACTCAGGCCCCGGAGGACGGAGGGGGGGGGAGAGGAGAGCGAGCGAGACGGAGCCGCCCGTCATCTTTGAGACCGCGTCAGATGGTCACCGACCAGCGAGCGCGGCGGCTATCGACAGTCCCGGTGCATCCTGGTCTATTACCACATATGTAACATGAAGAAACGAGGCGGCGCTTTGTCCTCACAGACGTGTCTCACTGGGAGTGAGGACGAGGACACGAGGCCTGGACAGAGAGCCGAGGACAGAAACGTGTGTGTTTTTGGGAGGGTAGTTCGGAAGGCAGGGAAGGGGAGGGGGGGGGGGGCGAGGGACCCGGTAGTATTTCCACATGAGCACACCTACCCCCCCCCCCCCCCTCCTCTCCTCCTCCCGCCAACCCGTGTATCCTTAAAGGGATGAAAAGCAGGGACAAAGGAATTAAAATATAGATTACTCAAGTGGCCACCCTGCGCCTTATCGGCCCAAAACCAAAAAATCTAACAAATTGGATCAGGCGTCGGGGGGTGTGGGGGGGGGGGGGGGGGCGAGAGGAGATAACTTATGATGTAATCAGGACTTTTAAAGACACTTTATTTGATAAAAATGTGACTTCTCAGACCTCAGTTTGAGTGTAACTATTTGAACGCACAGGTCGAAGTTCAAGTATTGTTAGCGTGTGTCAGTGTGTGTCAGTGTGTGTCAGTGTGTGTCAGTGTGTATCAGTGTGTGTCAGTGTGTATCAGTGTGTGTCAGTGTGTGACAGCAGAGCGCGGAGGAACATTCGGACGACTCACCTGTATCTTCGGAGTGACGACGTCTTGTTCTGATTCAGACGGTGACCTCTGACCCTCAGAGCAGGCGGCCATGTGCGCTTCTTCTGACCCGTTGTCGTGCAGGTTCAGACCACGCGCGTGTGTGTGTGTATTTCTGTGTGACTTCACGCCACAGCTCCCTGCAACAAAAAACATTGGGTGATAAGACGAGAGATGATCCAACTTGTATTTTTTTGGTCTCAAAACTTCCCCACTTGAAATACTCGACGGGAAACCATTGACGTTGCTTAAAAACTTTTATCTTACAATTCTACAATTACTGAACATAATATTGCATGACATTCGCCAAACAAGATGTTTCATATTTTGACTCAAAGATAAAATATGAAATCACAAATAAAAAGTTCCAGTTTTAATATTGTTAGTTCAATAGAAAAAGAGGACAATAGATACTTTGGTAGCTCTTCATATTATCTGGGCTACAGATACAGAAAATGCCAAACAGATGAATCTAATGCTGTTAATTCCACTTGTAAATATATGCAGTGAAAAGAAAAAGAAGCCAATGCATCCTGAAGAGAGCGCGTCGTGTTATATCGGAAAAAGGAAAAACGCAGCAGAGTTAGAAAGTTTTCTCGTAGTTCTTTTTTCAACTGTCAGCAGTACATTTATGACAATACCAATCTCTTCCATGCACACACACACACACACACAAAAACACACAAACATACACACACAGGCAATTACACATCACAAGCGATTACACAAAATACTCAAAGATTACATCCGCTGAAACCCGATGTCCTTTGCGGGTTTAAAGGCTGCACGTCAGCCTCTCAAAAAATGTTTCTCTTTCCCCTGCATGGGTCAGAGGCTGTTGCTAGGCTACCAAACCCAGAACCCATAAGTTCAGAGAAAGGGTTTATGTAGGCCATTGCAATTCAAGGTAAAAGGATGATATAAAATTGATACCGCTGGAATATAGGGACTCCGGTGAGATGGAATCAAATGAGCCATGAATAGTTTTCAGATCTGAATGGAAGTCTAGTAATACGGATAATAGTGATGATAATAACAATAATAGCAATAATAATGAGGATGATAACATCGGTAATACAAACAGTAAAAATAGTTATTTTTAAGTAAATACTTTCTCAAATATAATAAGATTTAAAATATAGAAAAATGCATTCCGGGAAGTAAATTCAATAATTAGAAAAATTAACTGTGTAACTGTAAAAATAAATACAATTTTGAAAAGATTTACCCTAATGTGGTGTCTGTTGTGCTGGAAGATACTACACAAAGCACAGGAGGACACACTTATGCAGAGAACAAAACATCGCACACACACACACACACACACACACACACACACTCAAACGCACAGCTCTACATTCCAGTGGCCGGGTCGGGATAACATCTGTAGGACGCCAGCTTTGTTCCGGCGCACAACAAACAAACAAACACTCGCAGCATATATGCAACAAACGGCACTACAAGGTGGAAATATTCAACGCCATCGGTACGGAGAAAGAGGGGTGAAGGAAGAAGAGGTGGGGGGGAGAGGGGGAGGGGGGGGGGGTGTTGGGGGGATCCTGACAGATCTACGTTTCAGGAGGAAGAGCTGCAGACGTGACAGGTCTGCACAGCATGCAAAAAAACACGCGTCCTCCGCTGCTCCGTTACCTCCTCACTTCTCCTCCCTTCTCCGTCCTATTCGCTCTCTGCTCTCTCCTTTTTTTTTTAAATAAACATGTTTGTTAATTCCTGTGTCGCACCAGCGCGCCGAATAAATCAAAGCTGGTGAAAGAGAGACATTTCCGATTGAAATGGAATTACGCCTGTGCAAGACAAAAGGAGGTGCAAAGCAGCCTCGTAGCAGGTGTTGGAGGACTAGACGGAGACTAGACTGGGCTCCATCTGGTGTGGAGGGCCTCCTCCTGTCCTGATGGTGCACAGGGCCCAGACAGACAGATATTAATGTGGGAAAACCGACGTCTAGCCTGCCTCTCAGACTGCATTTCAATCTCAAAGCCCCCCCCCCCACCCGCCCCCCATATCCTCCATTTATTACCCCTCAGCAATGCATTAATTGCCACTGCGAGTGGGCCGAAGCCGGGAGGGGTGGTGCTGTCGGTCGGCGCGAGACGCCTTTGTCAAATCAAATGGAACAATGGAGTATTATTAATGCCGTACCTTAATGTTGCAATTACCCCAAAGAAAAGGACAGAAGCTAAAAAGGAAACGTGCAAATTCTGCACACGGTTATTCCCGATAATTTCTCGATGTTTCTAGAAGAATTCTAAATCCCTGCACCAAATTATTACCACTACAAAGACAACGAGGCATAATTCAGTTGAAAAAATACCAGTTTGAAGTATCATACAAATACAAGCTGACCCGCACACGTACTCCTTGATGAAAGTCAGTCACTGCATGGATCTGAGTGGGCCGACGTCACCTGTGTCTATTAGGCTGGTCTCAATGGGAGCGTTATCTTTTACGTGCTCCTGTTAAAACAGATGAGAACATTAATTTGCACGGCACTGTATTAGACTGTGCAAAGTGTAACAGCACTGCTCACACTGCTGCCAACACAACATCCACAGGAAGTATTAATGCGGCACAACGGGCACCAAAGGGAAGAGAAATATTCCCGTGCTAGCTCTTCCTCCATCTAACACTGCTGTGTGACGCAGCAGGATGAGGCCTAGCAGCAGCACCACTGTACTGCTGCTGCACGCTCACACACACACACACACACACACACACACATTCTGCACAGAGCCGAGCCACCGAGCGGCGCTGGGGCTGTTTAGCAGGTAACACACAATTTGCTGGTTTAAAATTCCACAGGCTCCCCCCCCCCCCGCCGGAATCAGACAGGAGCGCCACTCCGAACCGGGATGAAGTACAGAGGGGGGGGGGCTTAAAAGAAAGAGATGAAGTGCATGTCCCATAAGCGAGCCTGGCCTCACCCTAACACTGGCTCCGAAGACCTGCAGCTAAACACGTCTCTTTTTACCCGAGGAGACGCGTCACCAACCCACTGGGCCCATTTTGTCACGTGAACAATGAATTTACCAAAGCTTTTAATTCCCAGTGGGGAAACTAGGAGAACGCACTCGCTCACTCTGCTGGCTGTCCCCAGCAGGGCTGGACCCGGAGGATGATCCCGTTTGCAAAAAACCACAGCACTGGATTCTCCTCCCCCCTCATCAAAATCCTCTGATGACCCCCCTGCGCGTTCCCCAGGTGGTGTCTGTGCCCGCTGTACAGCAACGGAGAGGCTGCGAGCGCCCCCTGGAGGTGGGGTTCTTTCTCACTGCGTCTAGCCCAAGCGAAGAAGCATCACTGGCGCCCGTGAAGAACAGCACAAGCTCAAACTTTTCTATGCACCAAGGTGCATTTTGCAGACACAATGGTCCTGTTTTACTGCATACACAGGCCGGCAGAGGGGATATGGGGGACCACGTGACTCCCAGGAGCCGTCCAATCAGGTGCTCTGCGAGCTACAACCCGTGCTCATCTCACCTGCTGGTTATCAGCATCAGCTTCCACCCCCCCAGTAAGAAAAGAAGACATAAATGAACACTAAATGTGCTAAACTCGTTCAGTAGTACCGCAGATGCAGCGCTGCTCCCCTCCTCCTCTTCCTCCTCCTCTTCCTCCTCCTCATCACCACCACTGTGTGAATAGAGCCCGCCTCTGGGTTGCTAACTGTCACTCCACGCCTCCCCCAGTGAAAGACATCTACCCTATTAGTCCGCTTTTAGGAGGCGTTGCAGCGTCCTCCTCTGCACCGGCGCACGTGCCAACGGGAGCATGGACGCGTTTCCCGGTGCGGTGAACGGAACGTCGCCGCGGGCTTCCAGTCCCCCGCTGCACCCCCCCCCCCCCCCCCTCCACGTCCATCCATCCGCTCCGGCAGTAACCGTCCTCCGCCTCCACTGGTCCCGGTTCCGTCGTGACGATTGCGGGATTAGTTAGTACATTCGGTTCTCTAGCTTTATGATATTGCATAAACTCATACAGCTAGATAACCAAAGAGAGAAACTAACCCACGTCTCTTAAAGGGGCCGCCGGAGCCTCGTGTGTTGTGGTCACATGGAGCCGTTGCACCCCCCCCCCCTCCGTCTTCTTCTTCTGCTCCCCCTGTCTCCGAATCACCACCGCGCGCACATAACTGCGTGCGTGCACACGGCAGGTTATTGGTACTACCTTATTGTAGTATTACCTTTACGCGTAATGCATACTTTTACATTTCAAAAAAAAAAAGATGCGCTGAACACCACAACCTCCATCAGAGCATCAGCACGTGCTCACACACCCTCAGGTGATTGACGCCGTCAGTTCTGTTCTTTAAACCCATGTGTGGAACTTCCTTCCACCGAAAGACCCGCAGTCCTGACGGTAATCTGCAGGGGTGGGGGTTGGGGGGGGTGGGGGTGGGGGGTCATGCAGCTGCGGGATGACACCTTCACCTGGCACCCAGGAACGCGCCGGGTCACCACATTTACCGCCTCGTGTCCTGTTATGAGCAGCGCGGGGAAGACAGCGTCCCTTCCACTGTCTCCCCCCAGCCTCACTGGATGTCACTCTGGGTTAGTTTATGGCATGTCGACAAGTTGAAAGGGGAAGGGGGGGGGGGGGGGGAGGTTGTCCCTCGTGATCATTTGTTGTGGATAATACGGATATTATGTTCCATAAATACGTATATTCCAGACAGCTGTGATGCTATAGGCGACATATGACAGTAAGAAGAACAAATGCAGATCACAGATAAGAATCAGGATACAATATTGTAATTTGAAATATTCCGAAACAACTCACGGGATATTAAAGGTAAAGACAAAACGGCTAATTCAAAGTGCGTTTTACGGTCAATGAATTGCGCTTAAATGATGGCGATTTGTTTATAGCTCGTCGTGCGCGGAACAAGTCGTTGAATTGAGAATAAACACGCAGCATACTCACGAGTTCAGTCGGTTTGAAACGGCAGTTTCCATAATCGGACAGCCGCGCTTCCTTGTCAAATGACACCAAGTTACCAAAAATCCACAAGGCGTTAAACACGGCCGGTGTTCTTCTGCACTCCCCCCGCGGTGGGAGCGTCTCTGCGCGGCTCTGCCCGGTCGAGTCGCTCCCCGCCGTCCGGCACATTTTGCGAAGACAAAGCCCCTTTTACGCGCAGCGCCGCCGCCGGTGTGTGAATCCTTAGAGGAATAACCGAGGAGTAACTTCCATTGTGGGTCGTCAACAACAACAACAACTACAACAACAACAACGCAGCAGGAGCCGAAGGAAGAGAGACGGAGAGTGAGAGTCAGAGTGTCCCATGCGGGGTGCAGGAGGCGGAGGGCCGCCCGGGGGGCCTCGCGGTCAGGCTGTCATGGGGGAGACGCGCGGCGTGTCCGCGGAATTAGGCGCGCTCATTGGCCAGCGCGCACACATGGGTGAGGCGATGTTGGGGGGGTTGTTGAGGGTTTTTAGGGGGGGGGCAAAGTAGGTGGACGGTCAGAGATTCACAGGGGACGTGCTGACATCACGATGCAGGCTTTGGTCACCGGATCTCAGTGGGGGGGTCCTAATAGGGCCGCAGAATCCACGTGCACTAACAAAGAGGGCCGTCATTGCGCGTTTCTATGATCCACTGGGAAACTATTAACATCGATAGCAGCAGCTTCGTCCCACATGCAGGTGCAGAGTGCAACGACTGCCACGTCACCTGACCGGATGTGGGCCTCGTGTTTGAGGATTCGGTGACGATACAAGCATCTTTCAGCTGAAAAGTTTGTCCCCAGGGTGGTGAGTCACGACCCCGAGCCATGCACTGAGCCTCCTGCAGGTCACTGAGCAGCGCAATGTTCCCTCATCTCAAGTATGATGCATCCTTTTTTTATCCAGAATGTATTTCCTATGTTTCTCTCAACGCGATTTTTTTTGGTCTACGGTTGTTCTATATTTTTGGTTGTTTTGTTTTTTAAAATGATGATATTGGTATTTAAAATGATAGATGCCACCAACGTGCCGAATGTTTAACATGAGCCTCTCACATATTCGGTTATTCTCGTGTGTTACTGGTTTCGAATTACATTTTTTAATTAGGCATTTTCTGGAGGCCTAAAAATAAATACTGTTTCTTTGGCTGAAGAAATATTTCAAAAGGAGAAAAAAATGGTATAATTTTGTTTTCAAATGCAGGCACACACACATATATATTTATATATATATATAACGTATGGTATCTTTTCAGAATAAGATCCCCATCCTTAATAAATCTGTAACGAGGACGTCGTGGCGTCCGTGGGTTTAAGAAACATAGAAATCTCGTTTCAGTTATTTCTCTCAAATTATATAAACTTCCATTTCATTTCATGCCGAAGACTATTACTGTATATAAATAAGTAGGAACAATAGTCTGGCTGGTTTAAAGGTGTGTGTGTGTGTGTGTGTGTGTGTGTGTGTGTGTGTGTGTGTGTGTGTGTGTGTGTGCGTGTGTGTGCGCATTTATGATTATTCTCATTCTTTGCTTCAATCAGAATTGGACTCTAAATGAAACGTGATTGACTCTCAGCTCTGCCTCCCATCAGCCGCACGTGCATTCATGTGAACACGCCCCCTGATTTCGTCACATCCTGTCAAACGTACAGTACATTAAAGACATTTGCGTTGTGTTCTATTCTGTTGCAGTCCGTGCACGTGGTGACTCATTCAGCTTTTGTTTCAGCTTTTTGCTGGAGCCTTTTTTTTGTCCTCCCTCTTTTGTTGCTGTTGTTGCCAAATTGCCAGAGAAAAAAGTGCTCGAGTTGAAAAGAAAATGAGTTAAAACTGCGCTCAGACTTTCAGTTCAGCACCTGCGGTCAGAAGCAGCGTCTCTGTCCGTGGTGCTGAAACCGATTCAATGAATTCACGTCGCTCAATGCATTCGAATGTGAAAATACACTTTAACAGTGTACAAACGTTCGGTAAGTCTAATGGAATGGAATATTTAAATAGATTTAGCGTATGAAACGTAGGGGAGTTTCATGTCGTGATCAGAGCTCACCCACAGAGACAGAATCCCGTTTAAATGATTTGTTAATTTAAGTAGGAAATAAATCACATTAATAATGATCACAATCTGCAAGAAGCAAAAAACACTCCCGATTTTCTTCCTAATCCTTATTTTCACTTTAACTGACACAAACAGATGAATAATAGACTACATTTGACTTTAGCAGGGATTCAAATAAAATATTTATATCAGCCAATTTTAACATTTGATGATTATAGTTAGATATTGTTTTTACAGCGAAATTGTCAATGTTGAAGTAAATTTGCAGTTGAATTTCATAAAACAGCGTTAAAGTGAATATGTTGCATGTTTGATTTTATGAGAGATGATGTGTGCTGAGAGTCCAGTTCTGTAAATTCTGCTTTCAGGAGGCCTACACCTGTTGCATTGTCTTAAAGAAATAAAGAACAATTAAGAGAGAATTAGAGAAAGAAAGAAACTGTATTGCATAATCCTTTTAAAAATGTTATAATTTGGCTAGATTTTTTTTGCTTAAAAATTCATTCAGTTATTTCAATGACAAACCAGTCAGTTATTTTCTATTCAAATATTGCGATAATAATTTATAATATAATAATAAAAATATCAGGTATTTAGATATCCAATAATTTGACGTATTCATATTGGTTTTGGAGAAATAAACTGAATCCATTAGAATAAAAAAATGTGAGAGTGCATCATCTCTCTGTTTAGAACGTATTTGACGAATATATTCGAGAAACAAAAATAAAATAAATAAGTGACGTTTGTCTTTTTAATATCTCTTCATTATTGTTATTATTAGACGGATTAATTAATTTCACACTGCAGCCCCGCAGAGGATTTTCCCACAAACAGGTGGAAAAAAGAGAGAAAGAAAAAAAACAAAGAAAGAAAGAAAGAAAAAAGTCAACATCAAGTTCAACAACGTGCTCGTGCTCATTAGCATCACAATGCTGTCTGGGAGCACACAAGTCTTCTTTTAACAAGAGGCTCTGGCGTCAAGTCCCTCCACCTCCCAGCCGAGGGGACATTTTCCCAGGCTCTGCTAACAATCACACAACTGTTTGCTTTACAAACGCCCGCTCTGGGGGCCACTCAGCCCGCCCCAGCACCACTCAATGGACGCTCCCGCTAACACGGGATGGAGCAGCCACTGCCCCCCCTACTCTTTATATGACACGGCGATTTTCTGTTTTATTTTAACCATAATGTCAAGGAAATGTTGTATTATTAGAGTTGCATTTTACTGGCCTTTTTATATTAGTAAGTAGCAGTAGTATTAGCAAGTAGTCGAGCATCCACGTTTATTAGATCCCACACATAATATATATATATGAAAAATAAAGTCATACTCACAAGCCATTCACTTGAATAAATCCTGCACCTGCGGTTCAATTCCACGCAGTATTTCAACGCAAATGTCACCAAACCACGAGGAGTCCAGGGAGAAACCCAAAGGCTGCGCGGCTTCACTGACTGAGAGCCAACCTGCTCAATGAGTCCATCCGACCCACAAGTGCGTTAATGAACACAACAAGAACAAAACAAAAAAAAGCCACCGCTTCTGCTTCAGCGGGCGGAGACGAGCTGAGGCCGAGGCGACGCGCTGCCGGCTTCCCTTCTCCCGCATCCCAGCATCTCCTCCCCGGCCTCTCGGATGACAGTGTGCGCGGAGCTGCTGCGTCGCTAGTCCCCTCCCCTCTCTCCCCCCTCCGCCCTCCCCTCTCTCTCTCTCCCTCTACCTCTCTCTCTCTCTCTCTCTCTCTCTCTCTCTCTCTCTCTCTCTCTCTCCCTGTGACACACACACGCGCCCCGGCTGCTATGGACGACGTGTGCAGAAACCCAAACACATTTCGCAGCACTTCAGCATTGACCATTTCGAACTGGTGTCCATTGTTCCGCTCGAATGACGCGTCTCCCTTTTCAGTTGCACCCTTTATTTTTATTTTTTGGGCCGTATGTAATAGACGTGGGGAGCGACGATGCACGTGCAGCGCTCGTGTCCGCAGCCTCCGTGGCTGCACTTGACGCAGGAAGAGGGTGGGAAGGAAAGGCAGAGCGACACGGCGGAGGCAACCTCGTGTTGTTAAAGCATCCTGCTGCTTGGCCGAAGGTGTTAACGCAAAAGAACCAGAAGATACCTACACGCTTCCTTCCTCTCAGCTCGCTCCGTCCTCCCCCGGTCTCCCCACGGCTGCACCGTCGGGTCCTCGCGGCGCCAGAAAAGACTCCGTTTTAGCCGTCAGCAGAGACGAGTATGCGTAAAAGTGAAAACGGTTTGTGCGAAATGGAGACGTTCAAAGAGCCGCGCGCAGCAGCGCAGGGTCGGATGCTGCAGCGCGAGGAGAAGCAGCCGCTGTGTTGCCCGCGGCTCATGCGGGTCACGTTGGGGTTTTTTCTTTTCTTTTTTACGTGGTGCGACGTCTCCATTCTTCTCAGTGCGTAGCGGAGCGCGAGGCGGATTAGCGCGTGCCAAATGTCCAGCCGAAAGTCTGTTAAACAGACTGCGTGCACGCCGGGGAGAGTCAACGCCGCGCGCAACATAACTAGTCATTGGTAATTGTTTACGCGCTGACGTCAGGCAGCAGGATTGGTCGTTCCAAATATGTTATTCAATGCGCCTGCGTGAGGGAATGACGGCAGAGGCTGGTTCGTGCTCTCAGCAACACCGATTTGTTGTATGTTTTACGTCTGGTTCGTCGCAGACTCGGATTCATAAGATCTATTTTTTGTTGCCTTGTCTTTGTAAATGAATAAAAATAAGTTCTCTCTCTTAAATTCATTTTTAAAGATGAAAAATAAAAATATAGTGTGTGTATTATGTCTTTTGCAGACACCTAATGAAGTGAATATAACAAACTGGATAAGGGTCAAATTTACACAAGGAACAATTCAATTATCAATTAAAATACTTTTGGTGCAAACAATGGGACTTCCTATTTCGATGTGTTGTGGCAGCATTACAACCATCATTATTGTTATCGTTTTATTATCATTCTTGTTACTATTATTATTCGGACAACAGTCTTCAACGACTTGAAACTGTATATCTGGCACATGGATTAAATAATTTAAGGATACATTTAGAATTTGAAGGTCAACTGTATCTACAAAACAATACTTGAGAAATATTGTATAAATTATATTTTTTGGATTTACGCTTTTTTAATGAAATTAGCAACCAGTTACAATTAAGCTCCAATTACAACGGAGAGTCGTGATATTGGTCCATTTACGAGAGACCTCGTAAATAAACGGCCGCCTGAAGCGGGCCTCACCGTCAGGCCTTTACATCCAAACAGTCTCTCAGGAGGAGCTGGAGCCCAAACAACTCAAAGCACATCAGGTGAAGTAACGGAAACACGTTAAGTCTCCCCTGGAAGCTCCGCTTCGCAGGGGGAAAAAAAAGCGATAACGACAATCAAACTTCTCAATTTAAGGTCAAGAGCGTCCGAGTCCAACAGCGACACCCACCGGCGGACACGCAGCACTGCAGCGGAGGCCTGCCCAGGTCCGAATGGCCTAAATCCATTAAACTACATACGAATACGACTCTATCAAACTAAATCCCGGCTATGTTATAGAAACGCAGCCTCTAAATTAAAGGCAGTGGAACATGTTAAAAGTCTCCGACTTCACAGGTCGTGTATCTGATGGAGGAAGTGGCCCCTTCATAATGTTCCATAAGTGTTCAAACGAAACGAAAAGCTGAATAATTTCACAAAGGTCTGAACCCGAGTGGAATGATAATGTGGAGCATACATACGTGAATATTATCGAGGAATTACAATACATAGTCCCGCGTACTGGTGGAACTGGGAGAAAACGTTCTACACTCACACAAATCTGCAGAAAGAGAACCGGGCTTCACCTTTAAATCCCGAAGCACGCGGAGAGGAAATACATGTGAGTAAAATGAAACGAATATTCAAACAACAGGCTCTAATTAGTCATCTAATCTCTCTCTCCCAGGGCCACGATGGAAGGTGTAATATCATTATGGGGTGTTTTAGATTCATAAAAATAGCGGAATTATTTTTGTAATTAATTATTGTTATTTTGTGTTTTATTTGACGTGTTCTCTCTTTATGGAAATAGTGACACGGGAATGTGCAGAACATACAGGAGTGTGCTGCTCTGAACTAATTCCTCAACGCCTCTAAAATATGAATATTTCTCAAAGATTTTGTGTTTCACTTTAAAACAGAAATCACATCGATGTGATTTGAGATCTTTAGTTTCGCATCGTTAAAACATCCGGTGTCACTAAAAATAAAGTTATTGAGAGTTATATGTCCAGATTTACATAATTAAACACTTTGGGAATAAAAAGTCTCCTTTTTATTAATTATTTGAATATATATTTGGTCTATGTTGCCGAATAATAACACAGAAGTAAAATCATTTGAGCTGCAACAGAAATGCTCTCCAGCGGAAATGACACAGTTAGACACACTGTGGATATATATAAAAATATAATACATGATATTTATTCTCGTGTATTGTGTTTTATTTGTTGGTCTTTAAAGAAGTGATCCGCCGAGTAAGAGGCGACAAAGCGACCGCAGCTGATTCAGCGCAAATGCGCATTTGGATGAAGATGCGTGATACTCAATAGCTTCCGATTTATTATTAATATTAGTATTTTGTTTTGTTTCATTTTGTTGTTTTAAAAAAAACTGAATTAAGAGTTTACCTCTCCAAGGTCTTCAAAAGAGATAAACGTATTTATTTATCAAATACATTCTTAATACAATTATTTATTCAGTAATTCAGTAAATTATTAAGTGTCACAATGTTTGGTGTTAATATCGGAATTTTCGCCCGTGCTCATATTCTGAAGTAATCTTCATTTGTCAAACCTCTAAAAGCACTTCTGAGCCATCATTTTCACAAGAAGAAATGCTCTTATTAAGTTCTTAAACACGCATGATTTACATTTTTGTATCTTTGTTGAATAGCTTGAATTATATTAACGTAAATCGTCTCTTTAAAACGACACACACACACACACACACACACACACACACACCGATCAGATCCTAACTCTCCCAAATCAAACAGCTTCGGTCCTAAATTCATTCATTTGTGTCCTATTTGTTTGAGCGTTTTGGTCACGGGTGACCACAGCACAGCTCTGGGTTCAGTCGTTAATAACTGACCAATTCAAGTGGCCACTTCGGGGAATTGTAACGGCCGCTCTTCAAAGGGGGCTTTGACCTGGGAGGGGTCAGAGGTCACACATGAGGACCAGCAGGGAGCAAATATTTATCCTTCACTCTGTCATGTTCCCAAATTATCACCCGATCGCAGTTCATTGTAATAACTTGTCACTTTGCAGATGAGGCGTCTGCCGCTCAGTAGCACTACAAAGGATTTAAAAATAGTGACATCCAAGACAAATATTGGTAAAAAGCCATCGATTCGACAGTCGTATGACGCAGCAAACAGCTCTTAACATTTATAAGGACCGTGTTGATGGTGGAACTCCCTGAATCCGACCTTCCCTGTTGGTGTTCGTACTGGCGCAGGAACATTACACAGGTGAGTTGATGTGTTGATACCAATGTAGAGCCTCATTGGCTTCCTTCAGCGCTGCAGACAGCAGCATGATGGAAGCACTTCTCCTTGACAATGAAAAAACGCCCTCCTCATGCTAGGTGGCTTGTAGAAAAAATGGCAAAACATATATCACGATATTACGACAAACGTGTTGTTTTCTCAATATAAAACGGTTCAAAAGTCATCGTGCTTCATGCAAATCCAATTTCCACAAAAAAGGACAAAAGGTAAACCGCTGAGTGAGGAGCACTTCCAGCCTCCTGCTCGGGGCTGACACGACGACACACTGTGCTGCAGACACACTCGGTTGGCCTTGATGCACATCTCTCAACAGAGCACCGCCTCAATCATCCGTAAAGAATCAGGGAATGAAACCGCTGAAACCAGGAGAGACACCGAAGATTCCACCATGCACTATTCTTTACCTACTCGGGCCTTTGGGCAGGCGTCACGTGGACACGCGAACAAGCCAAAAATGAAAGATACAGATAGAAATAAAATAGAACAAATCAGAAGATCACATCAACTTACAACGCAGCCGCTTCTTCTGGTGCCCACGGTGGTGGTGAGAGATGTTGGTCCATTGCTCGCCATGTGAGAACAGACCGGCGCTCTCACTGCTTTGCTGGTTTAATTGGGAACAGGCTGAGGTTTATGCAAATGAGCGCTGACATCAGTCTCAGCAGCCTCCTCTGCATAAAGGGAGGGGGGTGGGGGGGCAGAGGGCCAAAGTCGCGCCTCTTTTCCCACGCGAACTCCGCCGGTCAAGTTCAAGCGCAGCGCCTGCAGCCTGCGCACGATTGTCATTCAAAACCCGTCAATGCACAGAGGAAATTCACCGGGGGAGGGTGAGGACAGGGGGGGGGTCCCACTGTAGCCCAGTTACACAGAGCTTATCAATTAAAAACAAAAATGTGTGTAGCAAATCCCAAGGAGACAAGTTCCCTGTTTTCCATTGCGTCAAACGACAACATCTTGAGCCGAAATGGATGATAAGAATGTCGGCATGTAAAAGGTTTTTTAAACCTTTGAAGTAAGTCAAATGCTTACAAAACCATCGCATTCCATTTCATCCAAGGGGGAAAAAAAACGCTCCATTGAGGCCTGCTTCCACAGCGTCTGGCTGAATGAACAAAATATAAAAAGGCTTCTTCTTTTCAGGAAGCGTGACGTGAAAAATTGAAATACACACAGCACAACGGTGGGGACGTAGATGAAAAGAAAATACATGATTTTTCAGTAATTTTCAAAAAGAGAAATGATCTGCTCGTGTAAACGGGACTGCGAGTCAATGTTAGAGACAAACATGTTGTTCTCTCAGTGTCAATAAACATTTCCATTTGCCCCCAGTAGTTTAATGGCTCAGGAAAATAGTGTAAAACAAAGCAAACGTGTCCAAATGACGCCGGCAGACGCCTTTGTGGGTGCACGCACGTCGCCCATCTGTGCACGCCGCATCGCCCGCGGGATCATCCGTGGTGCAAACACTCAGTGAAAGACGATTAGCAGCATACATTTGGGTAATCGCGCTCGCTTTGAGTGTGCAACGATTCGTGGCATTTAAATCCAGAATCCGTGTGAGGACGAGCCCGAGCCGCGGCTTTAACACGACAGCATCCGGGGCCCCGGAGGATCCTCCGGGGCCACGGAAAAAAAGTAGAGGAGCCGAGAAAGTTCAGGTGCAGACGAGCACATGAAGGACGGTCACTGCGGGTGAGGAGTCATTGTGGATGTTATAAAGCTAAAATATGTGCTTGAAAAACGAAGTCTCCTCCTGGCCTTTGCTTTCTCGTCTTTTTTCTCCCTTTAGAAAATTAACCCAACAACATTAATTAGGTCTGTCAATAGATTAAAAAAATAACTAATTAATCACACATTTTGAAATACACTAATCGCGATTAAAATGTTTTTGTTTTTTTCACACAGTGGTGGTCCTCTGCAGGATGACTTTGGGATGGAAGTAGGCTAGCAGCTAGCTTAGCCTAGTAGTGCGTAAAGGGGTCTGTCTAACTGGCTGCAGCTAGCGGCGATTACATTTCCGTCAACTTTGTTTACTTTTGGCAAAGTCGATAAAGTTGCTTTAACTGCGTTAAAATATTATATCGCATTAATCTCGGCCGCATTAATCGCATTGATCAGCGCGTTAATGTTGCCCTAATATTTACACATAATGCAATGCTCTTATTGCAACCGTGCACAACTGGTGATGTATTTGATTATCAAGACAAAAAAGGTGTCTCTCCATCACATCTCATTTATCACAGCTGTGATATTTGGTCTGATTGCACCACCTTTACACCTTCACCCTCTGCTCCTGAAGGCCGGTGTAATTAACAGTCATGAGTCTCACTCCTACATAAATCCCCGTGACAAAGCAGATCAGGCCCTCTAGCTGGTTCCCACAGCTATCTGCAGCAGACAAAAAGGAAAAGAGCGGGGAAAATGAAGGGAGACGGGAAAGAGGGGGAGGGGGAGAAAATCAGCGTGGAGGTGGTGGTGGGAGTCTCCTTTTGACGTGGGCACCATTGCACCATTTGCATATATTCAAATCCGCTGATGAATGCCGTGCACGGGGGGCAAACAAAGACGAGCCAATCGGAGGGCCGCATCCCCGCCGGGGCCTCCGATGCAGCCGCCGGTGTCCCAGCGGCACCCTGGGAGAGACACGGCGGAGTGGTGTGGGAACCGAGAGGCCCCCCGAGCCGGGCGGAGGGAGGGGCTCCACTTGTGGCCCGCGGTGAATTAGCATTTTATTTGTGTCCATTTTCCTCAGTAATTTCTGGCCCCGCTACTTGAGCCACAGATGGCTAACACGGCAGCGGGATTAGCATTTGTGTCAAAGATGATGATTGTGGAAGTGTTTTTCCACCCAGAGAGAGACATTTATTCCCCCAGGGGGACTGACAGTTTAATGATGGAGATTTCGGGTAAATGTACAGAAAATCAAATGTATTTTTGTATGTTTTTGTTGCTCGTGATCGATGGCAAAGAAAAGAGAAGATGTTGAAACGACACGCATCTCTTTATGTTGGATTTTCCCCATGAATCAAGGTTATAAAGTTCTCAAGTGCGCCAGTTCATCACATGGATTCCAGAGAGAGGGACACGGGGGCTAGGACTCCAGACCTGTCCCCACATGAGACGAGGCTCTGCCTTTAGCTCAAGATCTCGAGTCTCTAAAATGGCCTTTAGACTTGACTTGGACTTGCCTCCAAACAAATTTAGATGTCACGTTTCCTCTTTTAAAGACTTGAGACTTGGACGTGGACCTTCCCCTCCCCCCACCCTCCGTCCCCCACAGATCCATCGGTTCTGGGTTCAGGGGACACGTGGTGTCTCATGGTCGAATGTGCTGTTTGTTGGACACTTTATTCTAACAGATGATGGGGCGATGATGCAGCGCATTGACTTGAACTTGTCTGGTCGTACGCTTTATTTTTCACAGAAATCATTTCAAGTCAACATGCAAAAACGAAATGCTTATGTAAAAGTGATCGCTCCGTTCCTCCCCGTCACAAACAAATTGCTTCGGGTTACAGGCTCAACCACGAGGAGTTCGCTAGCTAACTTTACGGGATGCACGTGTGCACACACACACACACACACGCGCCCACCGCAGAGGCTGCCGCTCCATCGCACAGAGCTCCGTTTGATCGCATCCACACCTCTCATTGACATGTCATGCTCTTGTGCAAAGAATCCCGGGCGCAAAGGATCAGACACATCTTTCGGCAGAAGGGGTGCCGCCAATTAGCAGAAAGAGGGAATTCAATCGACTCCTGCGGACCACCCAAATGACATGAAGCGCACATTTGAATGTGGTGAATGGCTTTTGGGAAAGAGATCTTTTGGGCGGCGTGCAGCGGGAAAATACCCGGCACTGTTGGAGGCACACGGGCCTCCGCCTTAAAGAGGATGAGCTGACATTATAATGCACGTGCAGGCCAGTGTGTGTGTGTGTGTGTGTGTGTGTGGAGAAGCACTCTCCTCCTGAGTAACCAAGCATACCACACACAGAGAGGATGCACCGGTGCACCCAGACCCGTCTTCCCTGCCAAACACCTCATGATTGATAATAATCTGAGGCTAGGAGGTCAAACAACAAAATGCATCAGACACATTGCAATATAGGAGAGATATGGGAGAAGTTTGAAGATAAAGATGTTGCTATTACAATGTATTTTATTATTTTTACTCATCTGAATGGAAAAAATAACACTTGAGTTCATGATTTCACCAAAATCCCCGAGCCTCCCCCCCTCCCCCTCCCTCCATCGTGTCTGTGCTTTAGTGCCAAACTGGAGACCAAGAGGAGCATATCTGAGACTTTAAGCTTCGTCATTTGCATAGTGTTTGTTTCCACCCAATGAAATGTTAAGACACATGTTGGCAGAAGCATGAAAGATGGAGATTATCATCAGGAGGATCTCACGGAGGTGTTCAGGGGCATTGAGGAAGAACAAGGGACTAAGATGGTAACATTTTACATTCTAATTGCAGATGAGGAGTGGGAGCGTGTTGGTGAAATTAATGCTGCTCAGCTGGAGAGTTTAATAGGCTGCTTTATGTTTTCTTTGTTCAGAAGAGAACACGTCTCAACGTGTTTTTCAGACAAACTTTGTCTGTACAAAAGTAATATTATTTTAAGTCTCATCAAAACATTGTTCAGTCTGTGTTACCACAAGTCAACGAAAGCACTTTTTCTGTATTGTGCTTGATATGTTGAATGGTCATTGCAGTAGTACCTTAAAGGCAATTAAAAATCATAGTTGTTAAAGCCTCATGCTTCAGATAAATATCGAATGCATCTTTGCAACAGACATTTTTAATAATTGTCAGGTCTTGCATACTTTTGTAGATGCAGATAATAAATAGGGAAAACAAAATCCCCAGCTGCTTGTAAAGCTGCTGAGAGTGCAGAAATAAATGAATCGAAACTGGAAAGACATGAATATATACACATACATACACATATATATATATATATATATATATATATATATATATATATGTGTTTTATATATATATATATATATATATTCTGGCGGTTGTGCAGTAAGTCAACTTTTAACAAGGATGCTTCCTTATTTGCAACAGTACATATCAACAAGGTCAAATAGATCAATACGGTCCCATGTGAGACAAGACGGGCACATGGGCGTTCGCAACAGAAAAGTAAGGCTTGTTTTAAGGTGTTTTTTTTACTTGTCGTAGATAAAACATTTCCCTCCACCAGTCAACACGTGTGTGCAATGACTTTCTAACGTATGAATACATTGGAGGTCACTCAAAAAATGAAATGAAGTTCACGTTAAATTGACAGACTGCAGTAGAGCGGATGCAGACGCGTTCACGGCCGACTGGGTAGTTTATTTTTCTATATTACCTTTGACTCGCAACGTGTAACGAGCCGTGTATCAATTCGAACAGTCACTTCCGACCCTCCGCAGTACGATGAACGTATGAAACCGTCTCATGGTGACTTGACACGAGTACAGTAGCAAGTGACGGTTGCACGGGTTGTGTCTTTGGTTGGAATTACTGGACTTATTTGCGATTTACAGACTTCCGGGAGCACCTGAAGGCAGCGCGGTACTACGCAACCACATCCGGGACATTCTGCAGTCCCACATGCCATTTGGTTCAGCTGTCAGGACTCCCATGCATGTGCAGAAGCTTTCGCCAGCAGCTTTTCTGGTTCTATCTTTCTTTCGTGGGAAAATATGGTAGGTTAGAATTAATCCACACCGAACGCGAAGTCCCCATCCCCAATAACTTCATTTAAAATGCGCACTTTAGCGTCTTGTTACCATGAGAGCTATCCCGCTAATGCTGGCTAGCCAGCTAACGTCTGCAGCAGCGCTGACAGGTGGCGAAGTTGGACTAAATTTAGCACGGTAGCCACTTGCTAACTTTCATTCATTTTCCAGGAGTTTTCAACGCGGCCTTTTTTTTCTTCTTCGTGTGGTTGAATTTAGGCGATCTCTCTTTTCACTGTTCGCTTTGCCATCACGGTTTGTGACTGGACGCCTCCCGCAGCCTGCGATCCGAGGAGAAACTCGCCTTCTAGTTTGCCACAAACTGCCTGTTCTGATAACTTTCTCCTCGCAGTGGGACAAACAGCCTTTGGGCTGCCTGACCGCTTCAGACCAGTGGGACTGTTTTAATGTCCTAAATCGGTGTTATAGGGTGACATGCAGTACTTAAACACGTGTGTGTGTGTGTGTGTGTGTGTGTGTGTGTGTGTGTGTGTGTGTGTGTGTGTGTGTGTGCTCTGACAGGCGCTGATGGGGATCCAGTTGGTGGTCAGCCTGCTGGCCGCCAGCGTCATGCAGAGGATGGCCCCACATTGCTCGTTTGCACGCTGGCTCCTCTGCAGTGGCAGGTAGAACCACCCGGACCATGTGGTTGTTTTCTCTTGCATGCATACATAAATACATGCATGCATGCATACGTACATACGTGTGCCTTCCTTTCAGTCTGTTCCGGTTCAAACACCCGTCGGAGGGAGAGCTGTGTGCACTGGCAGGGAAGCAGATGCCCAAACAGACCAGGAGAGACAGGTGGGACTCGGCAGGGTCTGATGACAAAGTCACAACAACGCCGCCTCAGGGGGGAAAAATCGCCTTTTTAGATCTACACATTCTTAGAATAAAGCTACAGATTATTCATTTTTGTGCCTGTACTGTACGTCCCTCCCTCTTTCTAAAATGCAATAACGGCAGAACCTGATTTTAAAAAAGAAACACAAATTATGCATTTCTTTAAACGTGGTCGTGTGTCTTCCATGTTGGATTTCCAGGAGACAGAACGGGGAGAGCAAGCCTCTCACGGTGCCCAAAGACATTGACCTTCACCTGGAGAAAGCTCCAGTCAACGCTCTCGACGCGCTCGGTAACTAAACTCTGCTCTCTCCGTATCGCGTTGACATTGCTCGTGTTCAAACACCGCTCCGGTATTGACTCACTCGGCATTACGCTACTCTCGCTTACCTTCCTCGAGTCTATTGCTGTAATTGTTTGTGTCTGGTTGCTCCTTCCAGTGCTGCGCTTCTTCCTGGAGTACCAGTGGCTGGTAGATTTCGCCGTCTACGCAACGGGTGTCTTCCTGTTCACCGAGTGTTACTGCAATATTGTGGACGCCAGCAAAGAGGTCAACCTCGGAGCCATCTGGTGCGTCCTGACCGTTCTCTTCAGCGTGTATCCTTCAAAAGGCACTCGGTCGGATCACCCTGCAAACAAATAAACACAATTCGCTTCATGATTCAGAATGAACAAACGTGATGAGGCATTCGGTCGTATCTGCAAATTTCAGTTTGTATCTGGAGTCTCGGGCTGGATCAATGCTACGTTCCCCTCTTCAGTTATTTTAACTTAACCCACAGCCCCCAGAAAGACCCTCCACACTCTGATGAGGCACTACTTCCTCTCCGAAGAGGGCGGCGAGCGCTCCGTGTGCCTCGCCTTCGGCTTCCTGTCTCTGCTCGTGGCCATGCTGGTTCTCGTGGTCAGAGAGGACTACCTGGAGTTTGGCCTGGAGTCGGGCTTCTCCAGCCTCTTCGACAACCTGGAGGTCTTCGCCAAACAGCAGGGCTACGCCGACTGGTCGTACGTACCGCTTCGCGCGCCGCAAGAGACGAGCCACCGCGAGTTGGCGAGCGGGCCTTTTTCGCCGTAACGTCCGGTTGCCGTTTTTTGACCCCGTCCAGGATCCCGGTGACCAAGCTGACGGTGAAGCTCGGCCTCGCCGCCCTCTGTGCTTACGTCGGCGCCCTGCTGGCCTTCCCCGGCCTGCGGCTGGCTCAGACGCACCTCGATGCCGTGCAGATGAACTCCGGCCGACCTCTCGTCCAGTGAGGAGCCTCCGGCGAGCGCATCAAAAAAAACCCATCCACGAGCGGCGCTTCGCTTTCTTAAACAACGTCTTAAATGTTTTTCTGCAGGATTCTGCTGCACTTGAGTTTCCTGTCTCCGGTCATCGTGTTGGTTCTGTGGGTGAAACCTCTGGCGAGGGATTTCCTGGCCAATGCGCCCATGGGAAAGACCTCAATAACAATGTGAGCGCACGTATTTTCTAACTTTACCCCCCCAACACCGATTGTCCCGCCCGTTTGACCTCCTTCTGATCCTTTTCCAGAGTTTCCAGCGACGCGTTCGACAGCCTGCGGCTGTGGGTCGTCGTGGCGTCGTGTGCGCTGCGGCTGGCCGTGACTCGCTACCACCTGCAGGCCTACCTCAACCTGGCTCAGAAGTGGGTGGAGCAGATGAAGAAGGAGGTGGGACGCATCGCCGCCATTGACATTCAGAGAAAGGTCAGATACCAATGGAGCGCAGGAGCTCGGAACCTCTTGAATTTTGAGGTTTTTACGCAAAGAGTCGGTTTACTGGGCGGGCTGAGGGGGATATAAAGAATCCATTTTCTCTCTTTCAGGTCACTCGGATCTTTTGCTACCTGACTGTGATCACGCTTCAGTATCTGGTTCCGGTTTTTCTCATCCTCTTCTCCACACTGGCCCTCAAGGCACTAGGTGAGTAACATGGCACCATGGGGAGTAACATGGCACCACGGGGAGACACATGGCACCATGGGGAGTAACATTGGGCACCATGGGGAGCCACATGGCACCATGGGGAGTAACATTGGGCACCATGGGGAGCCACATGGCACCATGGGGAGTAACATTGGGCACCATGGGGAGCCACATGGCACCACGGGGAGTAACATTGGGCACCATGGGGAGCCACATGGCACCACGGGGAGTAACATTGGGCACCATGGGGAGCCACATGGCACCACGGGGAGCCACATGGCACCACGGGGAGCACCACGCTAGAGGAAGAGGCTGCATTTGACCTTTTTGAGGGAAATCACCTCTGACCTCTGAACAATCAAAATATCCATTTCAAGCAGCAGTTGGATCAGAAGATGAATTCCACTTTCATATCAGTCTGTTAAATATCAATTGGCAGCTAGCAGCCAGCTAGCTTAGCGGCTTCTTTTACTTGTTTTTATCCTGGATAGCCAAACAAGCTGCTGGCTTTAGCTTTTATATTCAGAGATGAAACATTGATAAAGCAGATTTCCAGAGAGGGCAAACTATTATTTTTGACGTCAGTGAGACGTTTGCAGCTAAAGTGAAGCGGTACCTTTCCATAAACCTGCTGTCCTCTCGTTTGAGCGGCACCATGTAAAGGACGATGTCTGATCTCTGCCCGTCCTGTAGGGGACTTCTCCTGGCGCGCGGGCGCAGAGCGGACCCCCGGCGTGACCCCGGCGCTGCTGCTGCTGCCCACCGCGGCGCCCGTGCTGCCCGGAGGCCTGGACGAGGACGAGGAGGGGATGGAGGACGCGGAGGAGGACATCCAGGCCACGGTGGCGCGCCTGTCCGAGGCCTTCGCGGCGCTGCGCTCCGTCCTCACGCCGCTCTTCTTCCGCGGCCTCCTGGCCTTCCTGACGTGGTGGGTGGCGGCCTGCCAGGTCATCAGCTCCCTGTTCGGCATCTACTTCCACCAGTACCTCATGCAGAACTAACCGAGGACGCCGCCACGGGACCCTTACTCACAACACGCAGCTACCGAGGGAACAACAGGGGGTTTGGTCAAGTCTTTTTTGTTGTTTTTGAGAGAGAGGAGACAGGCGATGGACACGGTGTTGTTGCAATATTGACCACCTTGTTGCCCTCTGTGCTTTTTCTTTATTACCAGCAGGCTACTGCAGTTACACAAGTACACAGCGAACTGGGGCCGGTGTCACAAAGCGTTTAAAAGTTGGTTATTGTCCGGCTCAGATCAGCTACACTCACATGAAAGAGCTTTTTATTAGTCACTTAATGACCGCTGGATTCATTTCCTTTATGGATGAGTGCAACACTTCGATGCTTTTTACATGTTCACCAGTCTAGAAAAGGGACGTTTTGTTATCATGAGTGATGATCCCCTGAAGTAAGCCTCCTGGTTACCATGGTGATCCACCTATAAATATCCAGCTAACCCACTAATGTTCCTTTATGGTAGTTAATGTTACCTGAGCAGTTCTTAATAGAACATTGTTAAATGCTGCATTTAAGAAGTTTTAGTTGGTGGCAGAGTACGTGTTGGTGCCTGCTCCCTGTGTGGTGTTAGTATTGTTTTTGGGGGGGAGGACTGTTCGTCCCCCTCAAGGAAACCGATTCATGAGTGCTAAATGGTTTTGGTTGTTTTTCCCGCTGACGCGCGGCGCGGCCGGGCTCCGTCCCGTTGGGTGGAGCGCGGCGCGGCCGGGCTCCGTCCCGTTGGGTGGAGCGCGGCGCGGCCGGGCTCCGTCCCGTTGGGTGGAGCGCGGCGCGGCGGCTCCCTGTCAGTATTCCCAAGTGCCTGGGAGCTGTGGGACGTTCGAGTCCCCTTTTCTCCCCCAATCATCCGCTTTTCGAATGAATAGAACCGGTTAGCGGATGAAAGTGACTTTTCTTCTTCCTTCGTTTTATCTTTGGAACACGACTCGCTGGCAGCGCCTTCTGTTGCAGTGTCTTAATTAGCTTCAGGCTTTTTCATTTTTATTATTGCCAATTAGTCGAGTAAATTAATCAAAGCCTACAATGAGTTTTCAGTGGATTTTATTTATTTATTTATGAAACGTTGCCTCAAATAACTATTTAGAAAGATTCGCTCGGTCTAAACGTTTTTGTGTTTTGTGGCCGTTTCAGATTTTTTTTCTTTTTAGATAGTGTTTTTGAATTGAATGCTCTGAAATGATCATACTGTGAACTGTTGATTTTCTGAATGCATGGTGTGCAAACCTTTGTATCCCGAGCGTTTATCTTCGTGTGGCTCAATAAAGCGTTTATTGTTCTCAGTCTCGCGTCCTCTTGTTGTGTGAAGTTTCTGCTCCGACTCGACCTCTGACCCCCAACCCTCCCCGAGAAGATCTTTTTTTAATCACCGATAAACACTATGGTGACATCATCCAAACATCCCGATTGACACGCCGGTCGTTTATCAGCAGTTCAGGAACAAAACCTTCTCAGCAGAGCGAGGCTCTTAACGGAAAGTCTAAATGATTTATTGGCGATAAGCTTTCGACTTCCACCTCCGATCAAAGCTCACGAAGCAGCGGAGTGAAGACGTTTGTACCGGTAAATAATCTGACTCTGTTAGGGCTGGAATTATTTTTTTTTTCCTAATAACAATCTCTATCGCTATGACGCCATTTAAAGGTTATATTCTTCTTATTGAAATGTATAATTATCTTCAGCACTCATAAGTATTCATGATGAGATATAACAATTAAAACATTTTAAAGCATTTTAAAATGACATAAGTCTTCATAATTGCTGGTACCTCATTTTACATGATTTTTTTTATTTCACTTAAAGAAAACAATGACCTCTTATGTTTTATAATGTGAATATTAGTCACTATGTTTGAATGCATTTTGGCCATTGAAATGATGCAGATTTCAAAATGCTTCATATTGTGTTATTACTGGTAAAGCATTCTGATCATTCTGCGGCTATAAGCCGATCATAACGCATTATTAGTTCGCTCATATTCATTATAGACACCGGTAACATTTCCTCTGATGTCTGAGGAAAATACCTAGTTGAAAATATTTGTTACTGTACGTCCGACACCCCGATGGAGGTTTGACCTTTTCCTTTTCCCTCCTTCCTCTCTGTCTCGTGAGCTGAACGTTGACGCGTCTACATAATCACATTAATCGCGGGCATCTGTGCTGGAGGCCCCGCCCACACGCACAGCGGACTGCAGGGGAGCCGGTGGTTGCCATAGAAACCAGGATGTTTTGTCTTGGTGTGTGTGCAGGACCCAGACAGGCCGCGTACAGACTGGGCCCTCCTGGTCCTCGGGGAGCCGACCAGACACGACCCCCAGTGGAGGGCCTCTTGTCATTTAGGGAGCCGCGAGGACAGAGGTGGAGGCGGGCTCTCGTCTTGGACGGGGAGGGGGGGGGGCACACCGGCACACCGGCAGAGTTACCGTGAGACAACCGCCTGTGGAAATGAGGCGTTTTTATTCTTAATGTGAAGAGACAAAGGCCCCCGGGCTTTTAAGTGGCCCGCTCTGGTTTGGGGGCCGCACGCGATAATGAGGGAGCGAGTGTGTTGATAAGATGAGAGAAATTAAATAAACGGACACGTGAAAGCTCGACAGCAGGTCTTTTTTATCTTTAGACTGACTTGTACACGCAAAAGTGGCTTTTTGTAGTAAATAAAAAGCAGGGCGACAGAAACGTACAAATCAAACCGTTTTTATTTTAAAGCAATCACAACAAATGTCAAATAGAAAACTATAAAAACTCAACCCCCAAAAGCATCAGAATACTGATTATTTGGTTCTCGGTGCTTATTTTAATTCAGACGTGTGCAGGGATTCTCTGCATGCAGTCGCGATGTACCGGTCACATGTCCCGGGGGTAAGGAGGTGACCTCTGACCCCGGGGTCCTGCCATCGAGACTCATTGCATGTTTAATCACTAATATTTAAGGCTGGTCTGCACCTACTCTTTCAAAATGTACACTTTGTGAAATAAACTGACCCCTTGTGGACAAAAAGTGGAAATTCATTCAGACCCAAATTCGCGTTGTCGCCTGCAGAACAAAAGTTAAATATCCTAAAATAAACATAAATCCAGTGCATAAAAATGCAATTACATTTACAGATATGAAAAACAAACATTTGTCAATTTAAAAAATATTTAAATGTTTTTTTTTAATGAAATATGTTCTGAATATTTGGACTCATTCATTACATGGGCACTCATACATTTCTGAATATGATAAGATAAGACAATTAGGTCATTAAAGCTCAATCATACCAACAATATGCAGCTACTAAATGAAGCCCTTCAAATGACTGAATCATTTAAATCAAATTAGACCCAATATAATGTCACACGCACCATCACGTCTTTGGCTGATTCAGCATTATTTTGCAATGCATAGAGACGGTATTTAAACACTTTGGTCTTTAGTTGTAGACTTCCATAACTTGACAGGGTAAAGTAAAAATCAGAAAGTAGCATTATTTTGAGGAAAAACACAACTAGAGCATTATTAAAACCCCACAAATAATGATAGAAATTAAAGGAAAGGTTCACATTTTAAGTCCGTCTTAAAGTCCCTTAAATGTCCTACTTGAGCTCCTTTGCTCAATGTGATTCTACAGACTTAGATGTTCCTCCACCGCCGTTCACAGTAAGAAACAACGGCTGTTTCACCTCTTTGTGCTCATTTTGTGTCTCTTTTGTCATGTTTTGTCCCCTTGAAGTGGCCGGCCGTCTCTTCGTAGTCACACGGTGCCTCTTTGTAATCACTTTTTTTTTTTTTTACCGTTGGTCATTTGTGAGTCTCTTTGGGCTTTTGCACTTCTTTGCAGTTGTTTTCAGTCTCCTTGAGTAGCATTTAGCGGGCGAGGGCCAGGAGGCCCCCGGGCACTTCGGGCCCTTTCAGAACTCCTTCCCCGCCTCCACCGAGGCAATAAAACACGTGTTTTTCAATTTCAAAGGGAACGACTCGCTTTGAGTGATTCCAGCTACTGAAGCTTACAATTAACTGAATTATACCGCTTTAATCCTCCGATTCTTACATCAGAAAACCTTTGTGAGGGGATTTATTTCGTGGACGGGAAGAAGAACTCAAATCGGCACTCAAATGTTGTTTTAAGACGGACTTGAAAAAAATATACCTGCTCCTTTAAAATATCCGGGCGTATCTGAAAAGAGGCCGAGGCCCCGGTGATGGGGGGATACGTGGGGGGGGGGATCATGTCATCATTCTGCACTAAAGGCTTAAACACCCAAGCATATATAAGAGGTTTACTGCACACACACATTCATCGGTTTAATCTGGCTGGTGAGTCATTTTCCGTCTGCCGTTTATACCAAAAAGAGGGAAAGGGAATTTTACAGCTATTTCCAATTTTCACACCAAAACAGACAAATATGTTCTCAGAGGGGGGTTTCCTGCTTAGGAGGAACTCGGCTGGTCCCCGTGTGCTGCTGTAGGAACCTCGACAAAGTTAACGGAGAGAAGAAAAGAAACCAACACGTTTCACCTGCGCACACGAAACCAAACCCAACCAAACCAAGAAAAACAAACGTCTCCTCGCCGGATCAATGGAGTGATGCAGAGAAAACGTCTCCCCTCGCCCAGGAGAGACCAGCTCTGCGTGAGGAGGCAACGAGAGGAGGCCTTCCTCTGGGACGGTGGGGGGGCTCCATCTCCCATCTCTCCATCTCCTGTTATATATATATATATATGGTATACGTGTGTGTGCGTGGGGGGGGGTAGAAGGGGGGAGGGAGGGAGGGGAGATGGCCGATAGAATGGGGGACGGCGTCGGGCTGCTATCTCTGCCACCCGTCACTGATCTCCACCTGCCTGACGGGCTGCCCCCCTCCCTCTTCGTCCTGCGCGTAGCCGGGCTTTGGGAAAGTCCTTGGTGCCGTTGGCGGCGCGGCCCCTCCGGAGGCGCGCCCGAATCCGGGTTGCTCATTGGAGAGTGCTGTCCGAGGTGGTGTAGAGGGGGGGTGGGGGGGGAGGACATTTGCTCCGGAGAGCTACGCTCCAATTTGATGCTGAGGTTGAGGGAGGGCATGTGGGGGGAGGTGGAGGAGCAGGATTGGGAGGCGAAGGAGCACCCTCCGCTGGACATCCTGTAAATAGGACGACAAGAGGAACATTTCAGCATTTTTAGTTCAGTTCACGAGGGGCGACTTTATCAGTTTAGATACTTCAAATCATTTTTTAAAATGTATATATATATATATATATATATATATATATATATATATATATATATACATCTTTTATTTAAACAAGAGAAAAATACCAGAATATTCATGAAAGTCCAAGTTATTTTTAATGTATACATCTTATCACTTATTACCTATTTAATGTAATTTTGTTCATTTGTTGTTGTCCTTTATTATTATTTAATAAAACCTTTAACTAATCTTCTTTGTTTCTTCTTGATAATATTTTTTATTTTATTTATTTTTAACCTCTTAAATCATTTAACATTTAATTTTTAACAACCATCAAATACATTTCCTTCATTTTCTTGTTAGACTGAACTTATTTTTGTTTCTCTTTTTGCTTCATCGTTTATTTCTTGTAAAAACAAGATTCAACATTCTGCCATAATTCACGTGGCGCGTTAATGGTCTCACCCGGGGCTCATGTGGGGCCCGTGGGAGTCCTGAGGCTGCCAGGGGTTCACTGCTCCTCGTTGCAGACTGACGGAGTGATAAAAACCAGGTTGGCTGTACTCTGGAGGAAGAGAAAGAGATTTTATACAAAAAGAAGACACAAAGATTAGAACAAACCCGGATCAGTGGATGATCGTTCTCACTATAAGATCACAGCTGCCATAAGTTTGCTTTCCTCACAAGTGTCTGTGTTATAAACATGAATCAGGCAGCTGCTTAGCTTAGCTTAGCTTAGCTTAGAACTATTAATTACTAACTTCCAGGAACAAAAATTACAGCCCCCCCCCCCCCCCCCCCCATTCCGTTTACAGCCCTTGTGCTTAGCTAAGACAAGCTACTGCTGCTTGAGTCAGACAGTGACAGGTGTCAATCCTCTCATCTGACTCAGCAAGAATCCCCCCCACCCCGCCTCCCCCCGATTGGACAGATGACGCACCAGAGGTAGCGGGGGACGGGAGGCCGTAGCCCCCCAAGCTGTGACCCAGCAGGCCGGCCTTGCCCATGGCCACCATGGAGCCGCTGCTGTGCAGGCCCTGGTACAGGACCCCCCTCTGTGGGCGAAGAGGAACAGTCAAGCACTGACTGGGGGGGGGGGGGGGGGGGTGACGGAGTGACATCACTGCACGCAGAGAGCATCGACATCCCGTGTGAAGTGTGTGGGCGGGGCCGACACAAGGAGGTGACACTTACGTGGTTGCCGCGCACGGGCCCAATGGCTTGACTGGCGGCGGCGGCGGCGGCGGCGTCCCCCCCCCGCGGGTTCTCGCTCCCCAGGCTCAGGGCCGGGGGGTTCTTCATCTCCAGAGGTCGATTCAGGTTGCCGTGGGAGAACACGGAGTAGCCGATGCCTACGCGGAGGAAAGGAGGGGAGCAGGAAGTGAAAAGAGATGTGAGCTGGTTTCATTCACGGGGGGGGGGGGGACGAGTTCTTTTTTCCCCTCGATCCGTTTCTGTGGTAACGAAAACAACTTCTTCTTTCAGGTTCGGCCTCGAACAAGCATAACCAGGTCAGAACCGGTACCATAATAGTGATGCATCTTTTCAACAGTTACATATAAAGGGATTGTTACACATTATAGCACTTGGAGTTCCCCTTTACCCCCACACACATAAATTGTACAAATAGACAAAGTAGTTCCAGCACTTTTTTATCACGAGTGGGCCATTTTCTGAGCAGAGGCCAAAAAAAATATTCACAATGGACATTTGCACACAAGTTTGTGTAGAATATAATACACATAATACACATGTGACACGAGGCCGCTGTGAACGGCAGGTGTGATACGTTCTGTGCAGAAACCACACAAGTGGTTACAGCCGCCGTTCACACTGTTGGAGGGCCGGTTTCACACAACAGACCGACTGCATGTGTGGATGTGCGCACACACACACACACACACACACACACACACACACTTCCTGGGAGTTCACAGCCAGCTGCACAGAGGGTTGAAATGTATGAATTGTGCAGAGAGCTTTCCGCGTAGAGCCTAGAGAAAGTTTCCACGGATTATAAAGCAGAATGCGTCTATTTTCATGCTGAAGTGTGCTCACTGCTCAGTGAGCCAACAAATGATGACTTTCTGTGAAATATTGCCAATTTGGAAATGAACGGTAGCAGAACCCTGGCGTCTCTGAAAGGTTATTTACAATTCAGATTTTATTTAATGCCATAATTTGCTCGTACTGAGATCCTCATTAATTCATAAAACTCAAGCCTCACTCGAGGATTGTTTCATTATTAAAATGTTCTGCTCTGGTTGATACAAAGGGACCTTCCAGGTTGCAATTACGGCACGTGTGATGCATTTATTCGTGTGACGCGTCGACCTTTGCGTGACCTCCTTCGCTCTTGGATTGACATCAAAAAAAAAAAAAATGACTCGGCCGCGCTCACCCGAGTGCGGAGACACGAACGCAGCGTGCGCGTGTGGCGCCGCCGGGCCGGCAGAGCCGGGCCTGGAGCCCAGAGCTTTGAAGCCCGGGGGTCTGTGGGACGGCCCGCTCGGCCCGGAGGAGTTGGGGAAGCCGTTCTCACATCCTGCAGACATCAGGAACTGGGCCTCCGGCGAGAGGAGGGACGGAGCCTGAGGAGCGACGACAATTAGAACCCCGTGTGTGTGTGTGTGTGTGTGTGTGTGTGTGTGTGTGCGTGTTTGTGAGCTCGTGGACTGACGTAGAAGCGCTGGCGAGCCAACGAGAGGTCCACGCCCTCGCTGGGAGGGAACTTTTCTGCCGCCACCTGCATGCTCTCCTCGCCGTCCAGCTCGGAGCCGTCGAGGCCGAGGCCCTTCCTGCGCAGAGTCTGAAACGGGAGGGAAGAAAAATGAAACATGAAACGCAACAATCCCGCAAAGGGTTCGCGCGATCGAGCCAGCGACCTTCTGACCTCCAGGATGTCCGTGTTGGTGCGGCTCTCGTGCGGCTCGCTGTACTCGGTGTACTTGAGCAGCACTTTGTCCATGTCGGTGCTGGCGTACTGGAACAGGCGGTTGGTGCTGTTGAAGATGATGAGGGCGATCTCGCAGTCGCACAGCACGCTCAGCTCGTACGCCTTCTTCATCAGGCCGAACTTACGCTTGGTGAAGGTCACCTGAAGGACACGGGCGATTTAACTAAAAGTCAAATATGTTCTATTATTTCTGTGGGCTTTTTTTTTTTTTACATTTTACAAATCCAATCCACGTGTACAATGATGAAAAATAACAATAATAGAAGTATAGCGATTTCACGTTTTCGTTGCAGATCTTTTTCATTAATAGTTTACGTGCAAAGAAGAAAAAAGTGTGATGAATAAGTGTCGCAGAGACGGCGATAAAGGCCCCCCAAAAAAAAGTGGTCGATAAAATCGTATCCGTGTCAGTGAACTAAGACGTTCTTCACCTTGCTTACGGAACCTCCCGATACACTGAACGCCTTGTACGATACGTGTTGCATCTCCCGATTCTTTAAGCAGAAACAATGGACATTTGGCCCACCTGTCTATTCCTCTGGTCCAGAATACGAGATATCTGTATTTTCTTCCTTCCCATCTTTCCTGCTGCCTGTCACTGTGACGCCTGTGAAATCAGATAGAACAACAGTCACAGAGTGCAGATGCTCGTCGTGCTGCTGCAGCGACCGTCGTCGAATAAACGGGACACCGGCGCGAGCGTTGATTCGACATTTTTCGTGCTCACATCATTCTGGTGGGAAAATGTCATCCGTTTGGTTTAAATGACTCAGGTCCCCCCCCCCGCCCCCGCCCCCCCCGAGTGAGGGCAGGGTTGTTTATTTTTACCCACGTGTGGCGATGCGGTCTAAAGTTAGAGGGCCGGGCGGTCCACGCAGTCTGACACCCCCCACAGTCTGGGTCACCCGCGGGCCAGCGGCTCGGCGGCCGAGCCCGAGTGCACCGCGCGCCCCCAACCCCCCCCCCCCCCCGAGAGACGGGGGTTAAAAATACAGCGCAGGGCTCCTTTTAAAGGTTCGCCGCTGGCAGTAGCCGAAAAAGCAAACAGCGAGAGGGAGAACGGTGTGTTTTTGAAAGACGTCAAGTAGCCAAAAGCCACCCACTCCTCTCTCATGCAAAAACAGGACATGGATGGATTGCGGCCGGCTTGAGAATGTCCGTTTGTGAAAAGCCGCTTCGGGCCCCGCAGGGCCGCGCAGAGCTGGAAAACTACGAGATCATTCTGCTCCTAAAAGCGCGTTGAAGGGAAGTGACCTTGACGCAAACTCGTAAAAAAATAAAACCTCTAAATCAAAATACACGCATGCATTTGCTGAATGGGTTATTTCCATCTTACGCTTCGCTGTCGGCCGCGCTGATTGGCGGTTTGAGCAGACGTACTTCTCCAAACATCCCGCAGCACTTTTTCTCTGGTTTTCCCCCCTCAATACTGGACACGTATCGGGCTTCTCTATCTTTAGCCCCCCTGACGGTGCCTTAGCGGATATGACTCCTGTGTTCCCACGACCCCTAAAGCGCCCGTCGTCCCTCAACATCAGCTTGGCACACATCTGGCATCTGGGGCCTTTGTGGAGGAATCCACCTCTCTGCCATCACCATTACCTTATAAAGCCCTGCGACATCCACAGCGCTGGACGTGCTGCGAGGGGCCGGACGCACCTTCCGCGCCCGCCGCTGCACGTCGTCAAGACACGTCGATGGCGAGAAGAGAGAGAAGTGGCGCTAAACAGGGCAGACAGATCTTTATCTCTGGGGTTTTTGCACAAGGTTCCTCTTCTCTCAGATTCAACCAAACAGCGACTTTCGGCGCCTGCTGGGTAAATATAGCTGCACCTCCAGGCCAAACGGTGCGGAGTTCGCTGTTGGAGTCTATGTGGTTTAGGAGGTTTTGTCGAATGGCTTGGAGGCCACGAGACAGGCAGGGAAAAGCCCGGCTGCGCCTCACACATCGGCTCATTCTGGATCTTTTCCCGCACGACAACTGCCATTTGAGGTCTGCGAATGCACCACAACGCACATACTGCTGTCTGCGACCTTTCGTCGCCAAGGTCAACCCCCTCAACTTGTCGTCGCTGAGAAAATGTGCACAGTGAAAAGACAAGAGACTCCCCTCTCAGCCAGCGCAAACCGATAATATACGAACACAAAGCGCAATTCCTCCGTGTGCTGTAATGGTGCAATGATTGCACGCGCGGCCTCTCGCCCCTGGGTCTCCGCGAGGACGGCGGCTTTCGTCAGACGCCTTCCCAGAGGCGACGCCGTGGAAAGAACAGAGAGCGCTCGCTCGCGCGCGCGGGCGGCACGCGGTCGGCCCAGATCTCCGGGAACACCCTGGGAGCCCCGCGGGCCAATCACCGGCGACCTCGCCGGTGACAACGGAGGGGGAAACTAGAAGCTCGTGCATCAACAGAAGAGATCATGTAATGATCTCGAATGAGTCTATTGCACCGTTGGCTTTGTTTTTTTTTTGGCTGTACGCATGAACGAGAGGGGAAATGAGTAGGGCATCAGTGGAGTGTTGGGGGGGGGTTCTGCTTGGATGGTTTTCTTTTCCATGAGTCATTTAGCACGATGGCTTGATAATGTTGCGAAAACATGGCAAACACGTGTAGCAAAGCAGCAAAGCGTTTGGCTTCCTGTGTGAAGGATTCCTATTTCAGTCGACAACACTCGGATGGTAAATACGGTTCGACGCATTTGGCGGGTTATTTAGAAGCGTTTAATTAGTAAATTACTGCAGCAACAATCCATCGAGTGAACTCTCTGGGGTTGTTTCTGAGTAGTTACCTCGCTGCCGCTCTGCAGCACGCCGGTCCATCGCGACGGTGCAGCGACAGACGAACTCTGCGACTGAACGACACGACAATGATGGACTGAGCTGTAACCGGAGCAGCTGCGGTTTTGCTGTTTATGTATAATTTGAGTTGCATCAACGTCTCGCGGTGAGATAAAATCAGAACCAGGGCCCAAAACCCAAAGGAAATTTCGCGTGAACCGATGAAGAAATTCTCCAAAAACCAAAGTTAAAAAAGGGTGAGGCCAAAAAAAAAAATTTAAAAAGAGAAAGGACTTCTTCTTTTCTTACTGAGGTTTGTGTCTTTTGCAACAACGCACCACTACAACAGGATAAATAAATGCATGTCTGTGTGTGTGTGTGTGTGTGTGTGTGTGTGTGTGTGTGTGTGTGTGGGTCATCTTGAGGGTCAGACAGTTCGCCGGTTATCTTGAGGGAATATTTGTCTAATTTTAACAGGAGTTAATTGAATTGCCTCCATATAGCCGGAATGGCCACAGCAGCATCGGCATGTGTGGAATATTTGATCTTTCTATGAATAGAGTTTTTCATGACTTCAAATAAAGTCGTCCCTCTCGACTGTGAGACATTGTGAGGATGAGAAGCACCTGAATGTCAACCGACGGGGGGAAACTTCTCCTACTTCCTTCTGCTCTTTTGAATGAATCACACCTTCTTGTGTTTCTTGTGAATAATCACAGTGCAGCTTTAGCAACAGGTTGACGGGATGAGAAAGATGGAGAGAGAAAAAGAGAGAGAGAGAGAGTCGTGGAATGTGTTTTGTGCGTTTTTCGGTGCTAAAAATAAAAACAATAAAATGTAAAAAAAAAATACGTAGGTCGAAATAATGTGAGCGGATAATTAGGCCCGATAATTTACTGACGTCACTCAAAATAGACCGTTTAAGAATAGCCTTCCTGTGCGCGAGTTGCTAAGCATCCCTGTCTAATATAGCCTCATCCACGCGGTGCGTTCAATGGCGCAGCAACAGGTACGTTACGCACAGCAACACAGATGAAGCCTTAAACAACGAGACAAGTAACAGCACAACAACAACAACAACAACAACATAAAGCATCTCACCTGCTGTCGATGTCCGTCTCTCTGCGGAGTTTCGCCCGCCGGGTCGAGACCAAACAAACAGGAAATGAAGTGAAGAATGGAGACGCGCAGATGTCTCCGCCAAGTCTCGTCCTGTGCTCCTCCGGCAGAGATTCACCTTGTGGCGGATGGTTGAGAATCAGGAGCGCTGCTTTCCAACAGCCGCCTCTCTCGGTCATCATACACCCCCCTCTTCCTCTTCCTCCTCCTCCTCCTCCTCCTCCTCCTCCGCGGCGCCATTGGACGAGCTCCTGCGCCTCCCATCCGCCCTCGAACGCACCAGTCCCTCCAACGTCTTTTAAATATTTTATGTGTCGCGAGGAGCCTTTTCTTTCTTTCAAGTAGCGGAGTTGAAAATACTTTTAAATACTATGGAAGCCGATTTATTATCATGATTAGAATGACAAAAATAATTAGAAACTTGCCTACTATCAATATTCTGAATTAAAATGTCTTAAAAATGACTCATTTCAGAAATACTAAGAAACTCAATAAGTTAATTACAATTACTTACTAATGACTTTATCTCATAAAATGAGAAACTATCTAAATATTATTTAATAGTTACAAATAATTACTTTACTTATTAATAATACCTTAAAGTCTTAAAGTTGATTTATCCAGCTGGGAAATTGATGATTTTGCATTGGAAGCATACGTTCAGCGCACAACTATAAGACACAAAACCACAAACAATAAGTGCAGTCAAAAGACCCGATAAGTCCAACTACCTTTTTCCTCCTTTCGGAGGAGGATCGGTGGCAGCAGGTGAGACTCTGAGGAGCGTTCCAGATGGCAGAAACTGAAACTGACGTGAAGGAAGTAAAATCAATCCAAAGGAATGATGGAGGATTGTGGTGAGACTGAAATACTCACAGATCTCTTCTTTTTTGGAATTGTTGCCACTAGTTGTGAGAAACGCAGCGATCGCCTCTGACACACGAGGGATGTGAGGAGAACAAATGAAGGAAACGTCGTGCATCACAGCTCTAATTTCTCCTCTAATGATCTCATGACCTCTTGGATTCATCGCAGTACCGTCCCCATGGCAACCAGAAGACCTGCAGTACCTGAAGACACATTCTCTGTGGAAGTGATGATCTGAACCTGATCACCTGAGATCAGTTTTTTTTCACGGGTTTATATAGCTGCCCTCCGTTTGGTGTTAAATGACTGAAATGCTATTATTATTATTATTATTGCGACAATATATTTGTATTTGAAACGCAGTAAAGGGTTAAACATCTTGTTTTTATCTCTCATTTTACGACAACATGTTCCAAACAGAGAAAGTCAGAGTTCCTTTTGGAACCCATCGATGGCTTTTCAATAAAGGGTTGCGGCTCAATGACGTCATGCTGTGATAAATATCGTCAGGTCTAAAGATTGGGGGTTGTGCCTTAAAAATGGTATTTGCACATCACGGTGACCTTCTGGTTCACGAATGCTGACATTCACTCTGCTGAAGCCCCTTCGAGAGGTAACCGAATCCCCACAGGTTAATTATAGGGTCATATATATATATATATATATATATATATATATATATATATATATATATATATATATATATGATATACATGTGTGCCTTAGTTTCCCCGAGATCAATTTCTGATGTTTTGTTTAGACGGTCAGAGTGGATTCCTGTGTAATTACTTTTTTCTCTGAGGCCGTGAACTTGAATTCGACTCAGACGCAGACGGACAAAATGACAAGGAACACCCAACAAAAGGCTTTAATTTGTTACAACACCACCGCGAGCTGCAGCCGCCAGAAACAACCGTTTGTTCAACGCAACGCAAACGTTTAAGCTTCAGGAGGGGGGGGGCCGGGGGTGTGCAGCCATTTACGGTTACGTTACTAATGTGTTCAGCGCGTCGAAAAACACACAAATGAATCCTAATCACGGCTGCCATACAATAATTTGCTGTAGAGCTCATTTTGCTGTTAATATTCTATAAAGAGAGTGTATGTGTCACTAATGAAAGTGAAGGAGGGGGACAGACGAAGAGTAAAAAAGGGGGGGGGGGGGGGTATAAAATGCTCAAAAGCTGAGCGAAAGACACTAATGGAAAACAGACATGCTGTCAGCTTGACAGATATATTTAGAGGTAATAACCGAATCACTGCATGAGCTGCACTATTGAGTATTTCTGGGATGTGACACAATGCACTCCTAAATATAATACAGCGACAAATGTATTAGCACATGATCATCTGTGGAAGTGTGGACAACAACTCTGTTTCTCACACACACACACACACACACACACACACACACACACACACACACACACACACACACACACACACACACACTCCCCGGGAGGTAAAAACTCAAACTGTGTATCTGATGCAACGGTTAGCAACATCCCTGCAGACTGCCACAGCGAGCGTCTCCCCGCAGGAGTCATCTGCGCGGGCGCCATCAATCCGACAGAGACCCATCTGTAGATGCAGCTAATAACCTGCAGCTCCGGGGGGGGGGGGGGACTAGATCTTTCATGGGTGCAAGTGTTCTTCTGGCTGCATTTACTCTGAACGCTGCGGGGGCCCCCGGGAAGGCGGATTTACATACTACTGATAAAACACCCAGAGAGCGAGAGGTTAAGGTGCCTTTGAGAACTTTCCGTGCATTGAGTCCATTTTCTTTTTTTCTTTCTTTTTCCTGAAACTTCTCACTTCTGCTTTCGACAAGATCAGCCGCGGCCCTTTTAGAGCATGTGGTGAGGCTGTCGGATTCAAATATAGCCTCCATGGTCAGCGTGCATGTGCGAGAGCAATTGTTCACATTGTGTACCTTTATAGCTGCAGTCTTATCTACATCTCAACAGAATGAGGGCCTCACCTTTACGAACACCACTGCCCCCCCACCACCACCACCATCCAACCCCAACCAACAGAACAATAAGGCCCCTGTAGCACAGGTCGCAGAGATGAAGTTGAGGCGTTTGTGGTCCGGCGTATGAGAAGTCTAAATAAAGTTCATATTGAATGTCACATAATAAGGCAGGTACAACACAAGCAGATACCAAAGTGCAGCGGAGGGTGCTTTAATGTAAAAAAAGGTGGATGCAAGGCGGGTGGAGGGAAGAGCATCCCGGGTAAACGGTGCGCGTTTCCACGGCAGAGCGGATTAGAGAGGAGCAGCACGAGGAGTAAAAAAAATGTATTCAAAATTTCTTTAAAAGTTTATCTTGCACGGAATCACATTTTTATTTGAGCAACTGTTCAAAAATGCCAATTGTTTCTTTGTGTATTAGCGAGAAGACAATAAAAAGTGGCTCCGTGTAATCCTTTAATCACCTTACGAGGATAGAAAGGATCATATCACAGGAAGTAGGCTAAGCTATCAGCGCGGGAAAGACGCACACGTTTTATTAATTTCACGTTGCTTTTTATTTTGGAGCATAGACCCAAGAAACGAATGCTTCCGGTTTACTTTCTGTGCAGTGAAATTAAAAGAGCATTTAATGAGGCCCGCCGTGCGTGGTTGTTTTAAGGCCCTTTGTTTGGCCCTTCGCGGGGGTGCGCGCTTTCTCCCAGGAGCGCGTCCGCGTTTTGTTTCCGAGGATCCAGGAGCGGGGGGGGGGGAACAAAAAAAAAAAAACAACTCCATTGTTGTCGAGAAGTTTTTAATCTGGGCGATTTAAAGCCCATCACATGCTCCGACTGAGCAGCAGGGCGCAAACTGCTGCATGTTGGGGAGGAAACAACGATCCATCCCGACGGGACCGACGAGGGGAACATTTGGGGGGGGGATTGTTTTTTGTATTCTCACCCCAATGCCACCGCAACTTTTCGAGGAGCTTCGCACCACATGAGAAGTTTTAATCAGAAAGTCCGAGCCGGAAAAAGGAGAAACTTTTTTTTTTTAATCCTCTGCAGAAACCTGGAGATAAAGATGACGCTCAAGTACAGCCAGCGGTCCCTCATAGTTCTGTCTCTACTGGGGATCTTATCGGCCGTCATGTCGGTTTTGTCGGTCATCCTGATTTTCCAGCTCCGCACCGTGCAGACCGGAGAGAAGGAGTCGCCCCCCCCGTCCACCTCCTCGCTGATCCCGGCTCAGATCTGGGCCGTCCTGCTGCCCGTGTGCACGGTGCTGTGCGCCCTGTCGCTCAGCCTGCACCTGAGCTCCGTGGTGGTGTGTCTCCTCCACGGATACTTCTCCACGGAGGTCTGCGGAGGAGAGGACGACGCCGAGAGGTACTTCGCCTGCATGTCTACCGACAGTTTTAAGAAAAACACACAAAAAAAAACAACCTGCGTTCCGTCGGCCGCTTCACTCACTTCGGTCAAATAGTCCCAGAAACAGCGAGTTCCGGTCAGTTTTGAAAGCGTAAACGCACCTGTGGCGGTGTGGTCGCTAATTGCGGTATTAATACGCGCCTGGAAATCAATCAATAAATCAATAAAATAAAAGCAATAAGGGCCGACCCGACTTGTGCTGTTAGCTTCGGTGGCTAATGTTAGCAAACAAGAGTTCCATAACTTCACTTTAACTAAATAAACAACTTCTAAGCTGCATGGTTTGCAACATTAAATCCTAGTTTATTTTGAAATGTTGGGGACATTTGGCATAAATGCCAATCCAACTTTATTCTAATCTCTAAGGCGTTAGTTTTTGTGTTGCGCAAAAGTAACTTTTAAAATGAAGGCAGAGCAAAGTTAGTTATTGCCTTAAATAAGCTCTTCATAATTGAATGAAAGCCTCCAAAAAACATCCTCCTTTTAAGGAAAGTACTATTTCTTCAAAGGTTCAACGCAGTCAGTGTTGCTTGGAAGGACCATTTAATGTATTTAATAAGTGTCTTTTCACTGCAGGCGCATAATATTCTCGTCTCTGTAGACCACTTCAGATCCTGGTGCACTGCATCAGGTTTCATAAAAAGAGAGCGGTTTCAGAAGTATAAAAGGGCCTTCCTTAACGTGTCAAAGTGCAGAGGCCCTGCAATGCTGCTGGCTGGCTGCCCCCCCCCCCTCTGAAAACCCTATGAGTGGAAACAATGGCCTTCCTCTCATTATTCACCCAGCGCACGGCCTCTCGCTGGCCCTTTCCCACGTCGGTCTACGAGGCCAGCAGCAGACCACAGGACCTCCCCGCTGACAGACGGGTGCATTCCAAGAAAATGTGACTAATAATGAGCTTTTCATTCAAACGAAGTATCCGATGCGTCAGGTTCAGTTCTAAAACTTATCCGGGGAGAAACCAAAGAAAAGGACCACGACCAAGTGTGAATCGGAAAGCAAAAAATGTTGCAATGAAACGACACAAAGGAAAATATCAACGCAGAAGATGTTGCGTGAAGTTGTCTTCATTTATACACAGATGAGTAGCAATGTTAAGGCGTAAACGTGCCAGAGCCACAGCACTGAACATCCGACATTTGTTCCCACAGAGCAGACTGGTTTCTTTTAGACAGCAGAGCAGTGCGACACGTGGCCATCGGACTGTTCTGCCTCGGGGTTTCTGTCTACCTGGCAGGTAAGAAAAAGAAAGAAAAAAAAACGAGAGAAAAACCTGTATTCTGTTGCTTATTCTTGCATCCATTTTATCCTGCAAGACGGGCACGGATTATTGCCTGCTGCTGCACCTTGCTTCTATGGCTTTTACAATTTGCATGCAGGGTACAAACAAATTCCAGTGACCAAAACATTAGCAGCGCAGCACAGAACCGACAGCAGAGGCTCTCTGGCCCGTCCAGCGAGTCCCAGAGAACAATGCATTCTTTGAGCAGCCTCCATGACTCAAGTGTTTTTAATGCTGCACCCGGCGGCGCGTGTGTTGCTCTGTTCCACTGAGCGGCTTGTACTGGGGTGGGTGGTGGTGGAGGGTGGGGGGGGTCGTCGCCCTAACGACGCCCACCTCGGCCTGGGTCTAGAGGAAGGGGCAGCAGAAGCCGACGTCTCAGGAAGTCGCGTCACATCCCAGAGCCGTGCTTTTCTCCCCCTTCCTTCAGCGCGCTCGCGTCCGCGGCCCTTTTCCTGCAGATAAACATAGAGATAGCTCCGCTAAGAATAGCCAGCCTTTACACGACATTTCAACAGCAGTTGGGTTTTTTTTTCCTTGCTAAGATGTGACGCAAAAAAACGTCAAGTGAAGTAAAAAAAAATAAAAAAAGAAGTAAAACAACTTTTGTTTAAAGTAATTTGGCTCCTTTATAGATGAACAGAAACCAAACAGTGTTTTCCCGTAATAACTGATTCTGCGTTTCCTTCTCTTCCTCTGCAGCCATGTCCATCTTCATGCTCCTGATATTTGAGGTGGAGACGGGCGTAGCGAGCGCCTGCGTGCTCTCCTCGGGGATCTTGGTCTTACTGGTCATCGTGATCCACACGCTGGTCAAAGCGTCTCGCGGGGGGAAGCGCGGCGGCGGCGGCGACCGCCTCGACACCCTCTTTCACAACGACCGCGGCGTCTGCGACGTGCCCGCCCCCCGGCGGCGCGAGCTCAAGGTCGGCGCGGACAAACCGCGGATGCACCGCAGCCAGTCCCACCTCCAGCAGCAGATGTCCTACCCGCCGTGTGGCGACCCGAGGCCGCCGCAGTACCAGCAGCCGCAGTACTCGGCCGCCGGGGGCCACGCCGGAGACAAGGACGGCTACAGCAGCGGCGGCAGCGGCTCCCGAATGCACAGGACCCTGTCCACCGAATCCGGTCTGCTGCAGGCCCAGGCTAAACCCTGGAACGGGGTCAACAACGAAATGAGGAGCGTCCTCGCGCGCAAGTCGGGGATTTCCGCAAAAGACTCGACCCTGGTTTGACGCGGCGCAAGACCCGCTGACCTTTAAGCATCAAGCCCGAGGGGGCCGCTCGCACAGGTGTCGTTTCATTACAGGTCATTTAGCAGACGCTTTTATCCAAAGCGACTTACATTGCATTTTTAACCCGTGGCTTTTTACGTTTTTGCCCGGGGAGCAATTAGGGGTTAGGTGTCTTGCTCAGGGACACTTCAAGGACTTCATGGAGCAGCCAGGGCTCGAACTACCCACCTTGCGGTTCTCAGAGGTTAGGGTTAGGCGCACCTTCTCTACTCCATGAGCCACCATTTCAGACCCCTTTTGTACCTTTTTACTGTGCGTTCATCCCAACTGATCGCAGACGCCATCGTCAGACTCCAGCGCTCTCGCCTTCTGATTTCTACTGTTCGGATTGTAAAGAATTTGGAATTTGTTGAAAAAACATTGAGCACAACTTAGAACATGTAGTGTGAATGAGCTTGATTTTAAACTCACCGGTGTTGCCCGAGTGTCAATCTGTAAAATGTATAGCTTTTTGTAATAATGCAAATACTTCTGTATATGTTGACTTTTTGCCAAAAGTTAGTGTTGATGTGTTTATCATGTTTGGTTCACATCATACATATAATACATTTTAGAAAAATACAATTCAGTTAAAAAAAAATAGAAACTTAGCTTTAATTGTCATTTAAATGCATGTTTGAAATATTTCTGTAAAAGAATATGTGATACAGGGCTAAATGTGATCATGTCTGGAGGAAATACTAACCTTGGACACCTCGGCCCAGAGGTCATGAGGAAGTGGAAGGTGCATGTGGAGCAGAGACAAGGGGACTGGGAGAGGGGGTCACATCATGTAAGCTTCATGCGGATGTCAGTGGGGGAAATAAAAAGAAAGCATAGACAGAACTGAAAACATGAAGCTCCCATAACTACAAAAGAATAAATATTTTGCAGTTATTGGGCTCTTGAAGTGGATTAAACTTAAAGAATGTGTTTTGCTGATGTCCAAAAATGTTAAGTGATACAAATGATTATAAAGTATTAAATAAAAACAACATGAACAAAAAGGTTTGATGTGCTGTAAAGAATGAATAACAACAACAGAGTCACTTTCGACTCTGACTTTTAAGTTAACTGTGCAAAGAAATTTGGGAAAAGAGACGGATACTGGCCACGACAACTAACTGGACAAATGTTGCAGTACCTCAAAACCTTTTTGTTTCACCATCATATTTCACCCCCGGCTCTCATGTTCACTGCTGCCTCCTACCTGCGTCCTTGAGAGCTGCTAATCTGCTCCTTCATGCTGATGGCTTGACGCAGGAGGCTGTCGATATTTTTGAAGTACAAGCTGCTGTTTGTCATGCTCTTCACGGCACTACAAAAAAAAAAAAAAACAAGCGGTTAACATGTGGTTATTGAGTTGACAGCAGATAAGCGGACCTCTCCTCACCTGCACGCGTACTCCACAGAGTAGATGGCTCCTTGGCTCTGCTCCTCCCAGCTCTGCATGTCCGACTGTGTGAGAAAAATAATAAAACCATTAAATATTCAAGAAATTTTTTTTTTGAATAAATGAACAAATGTCGGGCTGTTGGATTTTTTGCATTATCTGACCCGAGGGGGTTTGGAGCACAATAAAAGGTTTTGAAACGTAAAGCTCAGCATTACAATTAAGGGATTTATAAATCAATAGACTCTAAGAGTCGGGCGACTGTAAGGCAACAACAGCCGCAACTTATTGTCTTGCACAATAATTGCGACAACGTTTAAGAATGAAAAGGATTACAGTATTCTAGAGGCGAGGAAATTAGGGTCTGGATTAGTTGTTGTGATTTCGTTTTTGGGGAGCGGTGTTATAAATAAATAAAGATGATGAGAAACAGTAAATAAATAGTATTCATGGTTCAGTCCTTTTCTCCTGGCGTGTCACAGGACGGATACCTTGTGTTGCACCAGCTCAGGCAGCGACCTTCTGACGTGCTCCTGCAGCCTGTAGAGAGCCACCGACGGCTCGTTAGCCAGCACGTACATGCTCTCCGTGAATTTGTCACTCACTGTGTGTTCAAATGACGCGCAGTCAAATGCAGAGAACACACGAGCCGTGTTAGCGAGAAGAAAAAACACACACACAACGTCCCGCATCACGGGACGAACAACGATGTAAACACTGCTGGCGTTGTTTAGCTTTAGCTCAGCGGCTAATGTGAGCAAACAGCTTCAAGCTAACTATGAGGTAAGTTCATTATTTGTGGTTCACCTCGTCTCACTTTCAGCTGCATCTCCTGGTCCTCCATAGTGCCGGCAGGTTTTGACAGTCAGAAATAACACTAATATTAACACAATGCCGCTTGTGTGAGCGGATACTCGGTTCTTCCGTGTATTTGTTGTCATGTGTCACACCGATAATCGTCCGGAGCGAAACGTCGATCAGGAGAAATGAGTTCTTCCTCTCAAATAGTCCGAAAACGCCGTAGTAGGTCACACATGGTTGGAATAAAATTGGATTCATTCTATTACAATAGTCTACTAATTGCATAGCTAATTAACTGGGCGATACGTAACGTTGATTTATCTCGATACACTTCGATCGGGCAACGAAACAATTTACTTTCAGTTTTACCGAAAGGAACTCGGCGCAAATCGGAGTGCGTGTCGCTGGATGTGGTGAGTGGACGATGCCGTCGTGTTTTTAAACTCATTCGCGGTACTTTTCGCTCGAGGGGCTGCAAACGGGATGTTCGGCAGCCAAAGTTTTGTTTGTGTTTTGCAGCGATCATGGAAGCCAGAGGTGATGAAGAGGTTGCGGATGACATCCGGCCACCTAACGCTCGCGATTGTCCATCCGAGTCCAGGGACGAGCGGTCCGATGGTATCCGTGCCTCATGAAAATAAGTATACATGTTATCTTTCAACATACGTTTTCCTTTCCGTGTATCATCCCCGTGTTCGGTGTCTTCTCGGTGCAGAGCCTCCAGAGCAGCTGGATGTGGATGAAGAAGGTTCGTTCGTCCACTCCACGACTCTGACCAACAAGCAGCGCGGGAACGAGGTGACGGTGCGCCCCGCCACGTTAGACTGTGAGTCCCGGTTTAGTGATCGGTCCAGTTTGGGTCACCTGAAGCTACTTAGAAACGGTAGTTCAAACTAGTTTGCAAAAGAAAAACAAAGTTACATCAACACCATTATGTCGCAGTATGATGTTAAAAAGCAACACATGCCAGTCAAGTTTAATAAAGTTTAATGAAATGACGCGACAAATGCAATAAAGCAGTTTAAAAACTATTTTATTCCCCAGTATTTCATCTGTATTGAGCCTATGAAGTTATCAAAGCCTTTTTTCCCCCATCAGCTCTGTCCATCCACCAGTTAGCGGCACAAGGCGACATTTCACAGGTGGCTGCACACCTGACTAAAGGTGAGGAATCAGGACGTCAGCCAGCAGAGTCAATGTCAGGCGTGGAATCCAACCACATTTCCCAGGGATGCGCCCCGTGACCCGTTTTTCCCTTTTGCAGACGGTTCGCTGCTGAGCCAACAGGACGAGCGCGGCTTCACGCCTCTCATGTGGGCCGCGGCCTTCGGAGAGAAAGCGGCGCTGGATTTTCTCCTGGAAAAGGTTAGACGCGAGCGACTATCGTCAAGGAAACGCGTGTCCAAGCGCTCTCTCTCTCGCGTTGCATTGGAGTTCATTCTCATTCATTTTTTTTCTTCGAGGGGGCGGACCCCAAAACAATTGCGAGGGAGCGAGAGAGCGCCCTGACGCTGGCCAGCTCCGGAGGTTACGTGGACATCGTTGAGTCTCTTCTCAGACATGGAGTGGACATTGACACTTATGACTGGGTATGAACGGACTATCTTTACATCACAGGTCCACCAGATGAATACGCTACAGCGAGCCAACGCACATCGACTGCTGTATGACTACGATGTGATCTCTTATTTTGTTTGAAATTAAGCTGTATTTCTTTTAAACTCAGAACGGTGGAACTCCTCTTCTTTACGCCGTGCGAGGAAACCACATCAAATGTGTGGAGGCCCTGTTAGGTACGTTGTGTGTCAATGGCGTGAAGTCCCGATTAATTCGGTCTTGAATAGTTTTTTTAATTCCTGTCCTCTCTTTAAGCCAAAGGGGCAGACATGACCATTGAGTCGGATTCCGGCTACACGCCGATGGCCTTGGCTGTTGCCCTCGGACACAAGAAGAGTAAGCATGGTCTTTTTATGGGTTTTTGCTTATCGTAAAAGGTTACTGCTGAATCCACGTGTTCATTTATTTTGTGCCCTAGTTCAGAAAGTGCTGGAGGATCACATCCTGAAACTGTACAAGCCACCAACGTGACACTGGCTGCCAGCCGGAGGGGAGCGGAACGATCTACAACTAATATACGTGCATGCACATGGGGACACTCAACCTGGGGAAACTTATTTTTAAAAATTGTTTATTCCATTTGTGGTCTTTCCATTCTTTGTATTACAATGTACTGAAGCATTTTAAGGACCAAAATACAACACAGTGCAGCAGTTTTTATTTGGCTGAAAGACACTTTCACTGTAACACTGTTAAGTTTGAATAAAAAAAATGTATTTTTATACTCCGTGTTCCTCTGGAATCGCACTTTAACTCAACAGGCACCATCTGCGCACGGGGAGAATGATTTCTCGTTCTGTTATTCACTCACAACATCCGCGTTGGAGCACTGAGGGTTGAGATGTTGTGACGGATTCCACGAGAGCGACCATACCAAAAAAGGCCACGTTCACATCAGTTGCTGTAGGTGGCGGCGCAGACGACAAGTTTCCCCCCCCACAAGTGCCACCACACCGCGGAGCATCCCGTACTTCACGCAAGACTCACTTCCTCTCTCTCACGAGAAAAGGAAAAAGAAAATGGTCATGAGGTTTTTTCTCCCAGGACGTCCAAGGAATAAACAATAACCCTTCCAAAAAAGTCGCCACTATTCTCAAACTTTATTTTTACTTTGTCCACTGCGGGGGCCTCCTTTATGGGAAAGCTGTGGGTGTGGAGTTAAGAACAAGATAACCGTGGCGTTGATGATATAAGCACGAGCAGGAAAAATATTGTCCGATACTTATTCTGAACCATCCAGAGCGGTAACGCTGCGTTTATAGTGACAGGTACGGCCTGAGCTGCTGGGACGAGCCCGGGGAAGTGTGCGTCAAAGTAGAGTATTGCAGAGTTCAGTCAAAAGGTAATCTAGTCACGTGATCATGTGGTTGTAAACCTTGATTAAAGGATTTAGAATTAACCGTTTTTAGGTGATCACCTGAACGCGTCGGCATTCTACGGTGGCCTGGAGGTAACTGATAAAACGCAAAAGACAGTCTGATTCATTTTAGATTATTAAACAATATTAGATTTCTAAAAATCGATCCCCCTATTATTGACTTTTTGATTATGTGGATTATTGATTGTTGAAATATTGACTTTAAAAATTTTAGTAAAATAAAAGATTTACATTTTTTTTTTACTATTCGGCATTAAATAATAATAAATCTAAAAAAAAATCTGGATCTGCACAGGAAGTCTGAAGGATATCTGGAGAGAGTTGTTGTCCTCAGGATAAAAATGGCTGATCTCTGCAAAGGCTCCGTCTTTTGGGCAACCTGCGGGGAAGCACAGATGGAGAATCATTCACCTCATCTTCCCACATCCAACATCTCGTCTGTAATAGAACAAAGAAACGAGAGGGCGACTGATAATCACGTCAGCAAACAAACTTACGGTAGGACAACGTATTTACCGTCTAGTCTGCACGTTTTTGCTGAGAAGCCTCCCTGGAACTGGACCTTTATCTCAGACACCTTGACCGGTCGGGGGAACTCCAGAGACACCCACTGGCTTTCACCCTGTCAAAGACACAGCGCTGACGACTCGGCATTAAGAAGATCTCGAAGGATCTCTGAATATGTGTTAATCGATCCTGGTGCACAGTAACAAATGTTTCATTTTTGAGCTTGCAGTGAATGCAGACTCGTGTCCCAGAATGCAATGCGGGAAAAAAAATAGCTGATGCAAAATACTGAATCACATTGTGGATGGTGATGAAACAGATCAAGGAACAAGTCAATTTATAGAAATAGAATAAATATGTGAACTCCTGCGGAAGTGTCTTAAAACTACTGCATGTCGGTTTCTTGTATTTTTAACTGCAAAAAAAAAGCCAACTTTTGGAATGACTAGTTAGCCTACTTGATACAGAGGCAAGAACAAGCACAGAGAAGTGTATTTTTACCTGGTCGGAGTTCCAGCACGTCTCTTCGTTGCAGTCGAACATGAACTTCTTCCCGTACTGCTTCACGTCTCTGTTGAGCACCGAGCTCACCCTGAAACGGGAGAGACGGAGATCCACTAGCGTTAGCTCAGACCGAAAGCCTGACATCAGCGTCGTTAGGTGTTTGATTATTGCGAGAAAGACGTTCAAACACCGCAGTCGAGTCCGCTCGGTGACTATATATCGTTTTATTTGTTTTACCTGCTCTGAGTTTCGCTGCAAATCAGTGAGGATGCCATGTGTATTTTTTTTTTAAATGACACATCGCCGTAAAGCAACGCGTTTTTGCTTCTGGTTTTACGACAGTTGGCGTCGACGGTTGGCTCGTGTCTCTTCCCGCCACTAGATGGAGGTGACGCGCCGTCCGAAGAGTTAAATGGCGGTCGTTTGCTCCACAAACCGAAGGTAAAGTATTTCCATCTTTATTTAAGTCCCGCTCGGCCGCTCGGAATGAATATTTAAGAGCGTTTAAAACCTCACATGTAATTATTCTGTCCGTAATCCGTGTGTCCAGTGGTTCGGCCTGTAAAATGCCGGTGACGTCACTGTTCTCCTCCATGTTTGTGCCGTTAAGCCCTGAACGGCGTCTACAGGAGACAAAGGCCAAAGCAAAAATATTTACAGGACAGGACAAATAACATTACATCCTTAAATGCTTGTGAAGATAAAAGTTTGAAGGATTTAGCTGATTCTCAGCAGTTGGATAATCCCATCAAAGAAGGTACAGAAAACACCCCTAAAAGCAGATTCCTGTATCTCTCTTCATAGACCAGGGAAAGCAATAACACAGCAGACTAAGTGTGTGTGTGTGTGTGTGTGTGTGTGTGTGTGTGTGTGTGTGTGTGTGTGTGTGTGTGTGGCGTATTGCAGATAGAGAACTCTTGCTGAGGTTTTGTCACAGTGATTTGCAGGTAATCGATAGGTCTGAAATACAAAAGCGTGATGAAATCCAGCCCCCGTGTAAATTGCGCAGGGGGCCGGGGCGCCTGGATTGGACTCCTGTATCCCCCCCCCACCCCCCGCCCCCCTTCCACAATCGGCACCACGCTCTCACACACTTTGACTTTGTGAGCGTTGCGCTGATGTCACACAATGGATTCAGACTGCAGTCATGTACGTCATTGGGGCCTCTTAACTATCAATTGGCCAGGTGCCTCAGAGCCCGCCGCCTTTTGGACGCTGCCGTTGCCAAACCTCACCGCGTGGGCCTCACGCGAAGGCGCCGTGAAGGTCACAGGCGTGTCAAACCCATGCGTGCTGCTGCTCGGCGACATTGATGCTAACGTTACGGTCGACGTCTAAAACCTCGGCTAACACTTTTGCGAGCCAACAGGTAACGAAATGCATGAAATACTCGAGAGAACTGAAAAAAACAAAAATCCATCCATCACATCATAACAACCTGAAGTTTCGTCCAACTCCCCTTTTGATGACTTGCTCTTGTTTTGTCCCCGTTTGGGTCTGAAATGTCCCGGCCGTCTCTGGATGAGACGTTTCTGTCCTCTCTCGCTCTTTGAGCCCGTTAGAGGATTATCTTCCTCTCTGCTGATGTTACGGCTTAAACTGTTCCCTCGCCCTCATTTCTCATTTTGTCATCACAGCGGCTAATGTTGATCTGTCGTGGGTTCTTTTTGTCACCTCTGTTTCGGGGGAGAGGGGGGGGGGCGTCGGATCAGCGGTTAGTCAACTTAACTTTGGGATTAACCCTAGTCGGCTCTTGGTCCTCGGTGCAGTGACTCCATGACCTGCAGGCAGTTGGGTACAAAGGATGTAAAAGCCTGAGCCCTCGCCCTCTTTCTACCTCCTGAGAATGCCGTTGCTCTTTTGTTTTAGTGGTTTTTAGTGGGTTACGATGGACTGGTTTTGTTTTGATGAAATGTCTTTACCTTTCCTGGAGTCTTGGCAGCCGTTTCTCCCTCACTTGTTAAGAGCCTCTTCCAGATGACATAAGCTATTTGTTAATTATCCTCATGTCATTTGCTTTGCACACACGTTCTAATGGTAACAGATCCATTTGATGGCTCCTCTGGAGAGTAACACGTTGAGCTGAAAATGTTTTCGCAACCTCAATGTGACCATTGGATATCGATTCCCTGAAAGGTCTGCACGTTTGCCCAAGCGTCTCTTTTGAGTTGGTCCTGATCGTGCAAGCTGTCACTTTTGTGGGCAGGCGCTGGTTGGCTCACCACCACCGAAGCCTCAGTACATTCCTCGTGGTGCGTGACGGAAACAACACGCTATCTGCATTTTGCCTGCAGCAATCCTCTAAGGCCCTGGCAACAGACTCAGGGTCGTCCTCGACAGATATATTTTAATAGCTTCCACTCGAGTGAAGTGTGAAGAAGGTACAATAATTTCTTCGCGATCCCTCGCCAATGTTTTCTTTTTATTGCTCAAGGATACCTGAAAAGAAACACCCTCTGAAATGGTAGCTTGGCGTTGGCGCTTTCCAGGAGTAAATAAGCAGATCCTTCCGGATGGTGGAGAACTCACTGTGGCCTAATCCAGAGTTTATGAGCTGTGGGCACTTGTGCAGATGGTCTTAATGAGTTTGGTGATTAATGTCAGCGGAGGAACAGCGGACGTATTGAGCCCAGTGAACTGTCCCCCTTGTTGGTGCACCTCACCAAAGAGTAGTTCAGTTTAATTGTAGAGAGGTCCACCTGGGGGAAAAATCCACTCTTTTCGGGGGCAACTGGGGAGTGAGTTGGTGCGAAGCCATTAGGTGCGGTGACGCGCCTCTAGGCTTAACAAAACAGATCTTGAACTCGTGAAGTTTCACTCGTTGGAAGTTGGTACCTGTTACATTTCCCATTTCGCTGTGGTTAATGATTTAACACTCGCTCAGCCGCCTCAGGCCACTGGCGGCGTCTTTTCCAAACAAGGCAGAGCGGTCGGAAATTAGAACGATGCGATGACGCTCGGCGCTCGTAAATCATGTAGTTTAGGCAGACCACGTTTGGCCTTCTCTGGGTTCCATCTCATTTTAATAAAGCAGGAAAATGGGCAGAAAACGCAAGACACGTCGAAAAGGTTCCGGTTCGAGCAGGTTTTCTCTTGATTAAATCGCTAAAATGCAAAGCACGATGGAGCCCCGCGCTCCGCGTTGGCCGTCGACACAGCGGCGAGGGGGCGTCCGCTCCGATTGGCCGTCCCGCGGCTCTGCTTTGTGCCTCTCCTCTTTGGTTGTGTGTCACTTCACCGGGCAGGTGCACGGGTGGACACGCACGCTTCCACGGCCTCCAGTAACCGAGAGATTGGCGGGCGAGCGGAGCGTGATGGGGTCACTTGGGATCACTTGGCGTCGGGTCCAAAATGTTCTGCTGGCGGAATCAAAGAGAATACGGTCTCCTCTCCGGGGCCTCTGACCAGCAGCGAACACGTCAAAGCTGAGGCGCCTTTTACAAGTTGAGCACTAACCCTCGCACTCCGTATTCCAGCGGCGTTCGCGAGGCCGCATGCTCGTCCCCGCGGCCCGCCCTCTTAATCGCCTCGCCTCGTCGCACCGTGTGAACACGAGCAGCCGAGCATCGAAGCGACACATCGCAGATTACTCCCCCCACCCCCCCGGCCAAGTGTTCTCAAGGTAAGCCGAGGTAGCGTGTTACATCGCTAGAGATCAATCAACACCTTGTACACTGATTCAAACGGGGGACGATGTTATTTTGAGTTCCTAAACACTCGACGTCAGAGAGAAGTTTATGTACCTGCTGGTTTATTACCTGTGCACTGTTGTCTTGTCTGTCTACTGTCGCGCACTAACCGCCAAGACAAATTCCTTGTATGTTTGACATATTTTGGCCAATAAATGTTTCCTGATTCCTGATTCCTGATTCCTGATTATAAATTAGATGTATATTTCTGTTGTCTGAGCAACAAGCTAACGCACATGGTTTTAATTATTCACCCGATTTCTGCCCAAAAGATTTATGGTAAGATTCTACGTTTTCTTGCGATATATTTAAAATACCAGAACAAGAATACGCTTGTACTGTATATTATGTACAATAACACACCCACACAATGCATTGTTTTATGTATTTTTTGTTAGGGCAGTTTTACATACCTCGGCTCGACAGGAAAATCTGCCAGGTTGCCATTGGCAACCGTTTTGATAAATTTGCAACGACAGGCCAAAATTCATTAAACGAAAAAGCAGATTGACCTGAATTAATAATAAGAAGGTAATTGGTCCTTCTAAACATCGCTCCTAACGATGCTTCGACCCTTTGATGCTTTGTTATTAATAATAATGCTCCATAGGGCAGATGGAAGACCATGAGTGTCGCTCATACTCTGCACTGTCCTTCTTTTGATTCCACGTGGCGCAACTGCAGCCGATTAGGTTCGAACTCTCTTTTCGAGATGCAACAAGCAGCTGTTTTCAACAGAGAAACGTGTGATTAACCAGCTTCAAACAGATTTAAGGAGAGAATTGCTACAGAAGCAAAAGAGCACAAGTTCAAACCTCAGGAGTCATTGGAGATCAAAACAGACCGACAGAGAATGCTGAATGTGTTAATGTTAAAAATGTTATAAATGAACAAGTTCTCTGCGTCTAAGAGGCAGAACCACATTTTAATACTTTAATACTTCTTTTTAGACAAAACATCACTGCAGTTCCACATACATGCACAGATGCAAGGTAAATTCCTTATGAATACCGAAGCCGCTGATCTAATTACAGAAACGAAGTATCTATGTTTGATCAGATATATTGTATTGAATCATAAATCCTGTATCGCATCGCAGGAGTCTTAGTAACCGTTCACGTGGGGTGATGGAACTGCAACATTTTAAGGCATGTTAAAAAGGGAAAGTGGCATGAATTACATCAACACCGCCTCAAAGAGCTTTCAAATGTCTGTAATGTATTTCAATAGCAAGCGATTCCTTTTGCAATAATTTCACCACACCAATTCAAAAAACGAATGAAAGATTTCCTCCCTGCTGAAGAGCGAACAGACGCATTTCCTCAAGCAGCAGGCAGTAAGTCACACGCACACAACCAGGGGGACAGGTAAGTGAATGATGGGGACATAAAAAAAGACAATAACAGGGGGAAGATTAGCTCGTGGAGCGAGGTCAGAGACGCGCAACACACGTCGCGCACATTGTTTCTGCAACAATAGGAAGAAAGATGGCACCTTCATTTAGGAGCCCCCGTCCTCATTACGGCTTGTTGTTTCAGCCCGGGTGGGACCGACAGCTGCTTGTTGTGTGTACGCGGGCTGCCAATGGGGTCCAAAGTGTGTACGTGAGTACGTACGTCCTTCGGGCTGACGGGGCGAGACGTCCCCGCTTTGTGTGCGCCCGTGTTCAGCCGCTGTCACATA